CCTCCAAGTCTCCTTACCTCTCCTCCAGTTAAAACCTTCAACAACCTCTACCAAAAAAACAGGAACTCCCCTTATAGGCAGGGAATAGAGAAGAAGAGAAAAGAAAGCCACCCTAATGTCCACGGCACTCGAATCAGGACAAAAGCTAAAAGAGGATCTTCCCTGCCTACAGAAGACGAAGCCAACAGCGCCTCTCAGACCGAGCGGCCGAGGCCAGTGGCAAAGAGAGAAGTATCGGGAAGAGGAGAAGAAGAATGCTACTCTAGTGTACCAGGGAACAAGCCTCCCAGAGTCAAGTTGCCGAGAGAAGAAAACCCACGGCTCAAGGGACTGGAGCGGCATCGGGAAGAAAGGCCGCGGGCAGAAGAAGAACAGGGAAGGACGGACGAGGTCAACGCTTCCCTCGCGTGGAGGAGGAAGAGCTCGCACGGCTCGAGACCGAGAAAGGGAAAGGGCCAGACGCGCGAACGGGAGAGCTGCGGGAGACAGAGCTCGAGCGCAGGGGAAACATATATATATATATATATATATATATATATTAATTAAAACGATTTATTCGCGCGCGACGACGCAACTAAATGGGTGTCCTCCCCGGGCAAAATCGACGTTCCGGACGCGTTGTCGCAGTCCGTTTCGCTCGGACGGCGTCGTCTACAATCGGGTCAAAACGCGTCGAAATTCAAATTTCACAAAATATTGACCCGCGATCGATAGTACCAAAAGGTTTACTTGAGCATTCAACATACAACAATGCAGGCAATGCGAATTGCGGCGATCGGACATATCGACTCTCCGAATTGCGTAGCTTGTGCGCGGGAGTGCGAATTGTGCAAAAGGCCACCCTAAGGCTCAGGAAGGTCCTATAGGAAATCCCTTTTGGGTTTCCTCATGTTGGTTTCGTCCTTCTAAGTGCTAGAAGTTGATACCACACACGCGAAACTCCAGAAGGGGATGGAAGTGGGTCGAACTAAAACGAGGCGGGCACCACTTCTAAGGTGCTAAGATAGTCGCAGGAAGACCCCTAAGGCTAGATCCTAATTTCTACGAGAAATACTAGACCTCACGAAAATTGAGGTCAACAGCTTCAAGCACCGGGTCCCCTCTAAAGAGAGGGTAGGACTCCATTTATAGGAGGTGTTTGGTATCATACTTTTAACATGATTTAATCCAAATCCAACCAAACCCCATAAATATGTTAGATAAATTTGCCGTTAAGTTAAAACTAATATTTGCCTGTTCCGTTAGTTTAATCCATATTTATTGAATCCACTTATTAGTTGGATTTAATGGATTTAGCGTAGGGAAAAAATATTTCACCTTGATTTTTTTCCAAATGCATCAAATGGATTTAACGTTAATTGAATCAAACAAAATTTCAGATTTAATAATATTTGGATTTGATAAATTCTGATTTATTAAATCTTATTTAACTTAAATCCTACATGCACCGAAACGCCCCCATAGAGTCTCGATTGCAATTAATGAAGGAATCCGAACCACATTGATTGAACAACTTTTGATGGATATTTGAGTGTCTTTACAATGTCAAAATTGAGCGATCTTAAGTTTGTTGGATTTGTTTTTTTTAGATGCTCGATTCAACTATAAGCTCGCTAGATTCGACATCCTTCGACCTTCCAAACATGCTTATAAAGCTTCCAAAAGTGGTTTAATGGCGTGATCGGGGCTTGATTTGGTTTATATTGAACCAATTTTGATACCATTGGGTTTGTCTTGTGGAGCCAGTCAGTTTGACTATAAGTTTGTTGAAATCGGAGCTCTGGATGTTTTTAATCGAAGTTTGAACATTTTTTCTCAAAAGATCACATTAAGATCCGTGTCCTGCCTCGAAATTTGTGCCGAATGATGAGAATTTGTTAATGGCGTATCAATAATAATAATATTAATAATAGTATTTATAATATTAAAAATAAAAAAAATATAATACAAGAAATAATAATACTAATAATTGTTATTATTATAGATATAAATCATGAAATAATAGCATAAATAGTAATACATACTGTAATAATATTAATACTAATCAATAATATATTTTATATAGTTCATCTTATTTCTCTTGTTTTATCAAACTATCAGAATTTTTTTTAAAAAAAAGCCCAGCTAAAATCGAACTTTTAAAAAGTGGATTATGTCGATTTTTAATATATATTTTTTATAAAACTACTGTTTTACCAAAATAGTATATAATTACATTGATTTTAAAAATTTCTTCCGAAAAGAAATCGCCTGGAGGTTAAAAAAGCAAAAAAAAAAAAAAAAAAAATTGGGCCAAAAGAAAAAAATTAAGAAGTGAATACGCTAGGTTTTTTGTCCTAAAGTGAGAGAGAATCCAAATTCTAAGATTTCAATCATTAGGAAACAATCTTTAGTAATTCTAGGATTAACATATAAAAAGGGATTTTTTGCACATTTTATCTTAAACATAATGATAGCAGATGGGTTGCTATGACTATTAAGGAAGAAAACAGGAATATGATTTTAACTTAGCCAAATGAAGAAGAAGAAGAAGAAAAACAATTGATAATGATGATAATGATGGAAGGCTTGTATATCTTCCATTTCCTATGCAAATTGTCGAATTCATTGCAATCACTACTGCTTAGCATCTTCATCTTGGGCTGCTTGTGCACAAGCCGCCAGTTGCACACGTGCTCATAGTGCTCATTCAAGTTCCTTGCTGCTCCGATAGTCCAAATTTTATACTTCTTAATTTTCATCACCAAGTGTCTGATTGATGATTAGTGGACTTGTACTCTTCGAACTTGATCGGATAATCACCACCATCATAAATCTTCATAAGTGATTTAGATGGTTTATAATCAATTGTTTCGATCTTTAATTTTTTCATATTTTGATGCCGAAAATGTGATGTGACGTGTGCTTCTTCGTAAGGGCTTCTTTGAAGTGAACGGACAAATAGATTGTCCTTATGATTTGACTTTGATCTCAATAGAAATATCTGAGAATCATTCCATTTATAACCTCCATCAATTAGTTAGACAGTCTAGAGTCAAATGATTTGATTTTTTAATCTCTTCACATTATGATGTCCAAAATTTGAGGGATACATCTTCTCAAGAACTGTTTTGAGATGAACAGACGTTGACTGCCCCTTTTAGATATGATCCTTATTTCATATAATTGGTTCGATTTTGGCTGAAGTGAACCACTACAAGATCCACATGCTGTTACGCAAACACATGGTATATTAGTTAACTTATAGTTTTGTCCTTTATATTGTAATATTTCAATACCAATTGAGACAAAAAAGAAAGTTGTAAATCTCAACATACCAATTGATCCCTTTGACTTTATGATGTTTAGATTATGAGTGAATTTTCTTACGATTATTAAGTAATTGCTTTGGCTTCCACATTGTTAGAAATCAAGTACTAATTGAGGAAAAAGAAGGTTGGAAGTCTCAATATACTATATAATTAAACTGGCTGCTCATCTTGCCTTTTGTTACCCATTGCTTGATATTGTTTAATAGTACGTTGTTTATGGTCCATAGTCCAAAACAGCTAATTCTAACTCTAGATACTAAGAGCGATGCTTTTTCATTTCTGTTTATTTATAAAACTGATTAACATTTGTATGATAATCATGGAACTTACAACAACAACAACAACAACAACAAAGCCTTAATCGTCGCACTACGTGGGGTCAGCTGCATGAATCCTTTTTCTCCATTGCGTCCTATATAGTGTCATAATCATGGAACTTAGTTTCCCAAAAATTTACATACGAAGCACACAAGTGTTATGAATTTACATATCTCACTTCTAAGCTTCCATATTTACATGCATAGCACTTCAGTGTTTTAAACTTATGATTGAAAATGGGTATTTGACTTTAAAAAAGTGGTAATAGTGCTATTCTTGATGTTCTATTAAGGATTTAAGTGCTATGTGTGAAAGTGTAAGTGTGAGATATGTAAATACATAAGCGTTGTGTGCTGTGTATGTAAATTCCCCTTCCTTTGTTTCTTATTTTATCCGCCTTTTGCTTTTTATTGTAGAGTTGCTATCCTTGCAGCTGGTTGGATAGTATTCTTTGCTGGCTTCTTACCTGTACGATTTTTATGGACTGAGAATAATAAATGGAAACGTATAATAGAGGTACACCTTCTTAGCTCTTCTGTGTTTTTTCGAATTTTAGGAGTAAAGCCTTTGATGCTTCCTTCCATGAAATTTTTGATCTAAAATTTATCTTGGCTTTCCATTTTTCTTTGAGTTTGTTGGTTTATATACGTATATGGGTTTTGGCTGTTGCTGTAATTTAGCAATAGTTTATCATACTGCTTTTACAATGAAAAAATAATTTGTCTTTTCTGAAAGATTGTCAGGGCTTCATGTGAACTTGATATTGGAGGACATTTAATGAGGTCTATTACTTACAAGATTAAGGCCCCCTTATACCCGCTGGCGGCATTTTGAAAATGCCGCCATCCCGTTTGTTTAGTGTGTTCGAGCTGCTTATTCGGAACCGACGTTCGGGTTTATTTAATAAACGCGGCCGCGGGATCGACCCTGCGGCCTGCATTCGTTCGCGTTAACTATTCTCCCGCTGCTCTCGACCTCTTGCCTCTCTTAGCATCTCATTTGCCCTAGCTTTTGCGAACCATTCGGTAATCAATGGCAAAGAGCTTCTACCATTCAATAACAACACCCTCGCGCCTCCTGCTCTCTTCACGGTTCGATTCTCGTATGGCCTTCCTATTTTAGTAGCGGGTGCTTCACACAGAGCCGCTCAGTTCATTCCTCCGTTTTTCTCGGAGCAAGACAAAAGGCTTTTTAGGCTCTCCCTCTTCTTAGCTCGTTGATCGTAGCAAAAAAGTGTTCGTTGCGTTGCGGTGCTGTAAGAACAATCGTTCAGAGCGAGTTTGTTGGTGAGGTGTTGGAGTCGGACATTCCTGTGCTTGTGGACTTCGTCGCCGATTGGTGCGGGCCTTGCCATTTAATCTCACCTATAATCGAATGGGCTTCCCAGGTATTAGTTTGGATTAGGTCCTTTTTAAGTTGGTTTATTTTAAGAAGAATTTTGGATTGCTCGCTTGAAGGGATTGCAAGATAGGAAATGTTAATGAAAATAATAAAACAATTAGATTGAATATTGTTTTGCCTTTTTTTTTTTTGGCTAAGAAGATATTTGCACCTTAAATTTTTTTTTTTGGTTTTTATATTTTGTGGAAAATTTGAATTTTTATTCTTATGAGTGTAGTCAATTAAAAAAAATTAAATTTGCTAATATTTCGTTGGTAAAGTCCATCTTCTCTTAATTATATTGTAACAAAACAACTAATATGAAGTTGTGAAGTAAATTGCATTTGTATTTAATAACGGACTCAACAATCAACTACAGAATCAACTACATGGAGCAAACACTAGCACTATTGCATAGGGGTAGAATTGTCATTTATCTAGAAACAACTGCAAAACAACTATTTTTCAACCACACAAACCAAACAACCAGTCAACTTATTCGGATCAGCTGCTGATCAACAACTGATCTGAATCAACAACTTATCAGCAAATTATTGATAAGATGCAGCTGCCCCAAACAGACCCTAAATGTTGTGGCGAATTTCTGTTGATATTGGTTTTTTGTCGTTTCATGTTAGCAATTTCACTCTTGGATCGATACTCCAACCACAATAAAATTTGCAAAGAAAATATTGTTATAGATAATTTTGGTGATAGGAGATTGTTCAAGCAATGAATGACATTGCAGTGTTGCCTTTTTCCATTATTTCCTATACCTAGTCATTGTTGATAATGCTTGGTGTTGTGGTTGTGGATACGTTTTGCAAATCCATTTTGCCCAAGTTTATGAACTCCATATATTCTATTTAGGGCCGTTTGAGGAGGCTTTATCATTTTAGGATTCCGTTTAAAAGAAAATTATGAAAAAATAGTGTTTTAAAATTTTGTCCCGTAAGAAAATATTAGCGTTCGGATTTTTGATGCCTTTACACTTATTTTTTTTTTTTGGCTATCGGCTGGCTCTTTTTCTTGGATTTTGATCTCAACAAGCGAACTCGTCATCGTTCTCCTTTTCTTTGAATTAGATGCCGTAGGCAGCTGTGGTGATACCTTCTCATCAGTTTCATCCTCTGCATCATTCCCGCACTCGCTAGACACTTGTTGGGCAGTCTCCAATATAAGATCGAGGTATCCTTCGCCCCCTTCGGCTTCTTCGTTGATTTCATCCCCCACCTTGCAAGAAGTATTTGTGATTTCAGAGGTTTCTCCGGTTCCGTGCTTGATCGGCGTAGGGAAGAAGACGATATTGGCGATGATTTTAACCCTCCTTCTCTATCCAATGCGGAATGATGGTCCGAAGGCTTCGGCCTCGTCGCATTCAAAATTTCGCCATTCATGATTTTGCGGTGGACGTGACATTTGGCGAGGGATCTCATCCAAAAAACATATTCTCCATTTCACCGCAAACAAGGCCTTAGTATGAAATAATCCACTTCAAGCTAAACTGTTGACCACATCAACAAATCTACATTATTCCTAAATCTAGAGGGGATGCTGTCCAGGGACGTCCTATTATTTTTTTTTCCTTCAAAAGGGTCTTTAAAATTGTCCTTTAGGATTATCTGGAATTATTGTTTTTTATGGATTCTAGTCTGGCTGGTTCCATAAATTATGCCGGGATGATACAGGCAGAAGTTAAATATGCATATTTAAAAGTAATCAGTATCTTGTTTTATGCAAAAATCTTTATAGTCCAGCATTAGCTTAAGCTGACTTGTTTCAACATTTTCTTCTTAGAGAAAGTTGGTGGAGATGATGTGTTGCGTATTTGTTGCTTCATGGACGGGAGTGGTCAAGTATCACGGTCCTCGTCCAAGTATGCGCCCTCAGCAGGTTATTTTATTTTTGGGGCATTTACATACATACAACCCAATTCCTATGTATTTACATATCTAACACCTAAAATTTACTTTTTACATTTATCCCACCCAAATATTTCATATCACATAAAAAACACCACCATTTTAATTTTTAAAAAGTGAAAGATTTCGGTGTTATAATCATAAAAATGTAAATTTTAGGTGTCAGATATGTGAATACATAGGAATTGAGTGATATGCATGTAAATCTTCCTTTATTTTAAGTGTAATCATTTTTATTCTGCAGTGAACTTCCATAGTTCATGACATCTGGAAAGTTTGCGTGATTCATACAGGTTTTTGTTGCCAATCACACATCCATGATTGACTTCATCATTTTAGAGCAGATGGCTGCTTTTGCGGTTATTATGCAAAAACATCCAGGATGGGTTGGTATGAGCATATTTTAATTTAGCACAACCCTGTCACATTATTTTGATAATATTAAGAACACTGCCTTACTATTTATGACTCAGGATTCATTCAGAAAACTATTTTGGAGAGTGTGGGTTGCATTTGGTTCAACAGGACGGAGGCCAAAGATCGTGAAATTGTGACAAGAAAGTTAGTATTGCCTTTTTGGATGAAGAGATTAAACAATTTTGTTATGTTTTATAATCTAAACGCCCCGAGTATTTTAGGCTTAGGGAACACGCTCAAGGGGCCGACAACAACCCTCTTTTGATATTCCCAGAAGGAACTTGTGTGAATAATCAATATACCGTTATGTTCAAGAAGGTTACTTTTGATACCTTTTATTCTACTCGTTTGGTTTTTTGACACTGGAATTATACTTGAAAGTTGATATAGGCTAGGAATTTACTATAAAGCTTTGAATTTCATGCAAATCTATGGACACGTTTATACCTCAGAACTGTTTTTCTATCGTCTGTCTGCTAATATATCATCTGGCTTTTCTGTACATCAAAGATATCCTAATATCTCTAAAGCATGTTTAAGGCAACGATGATGAATGACAAGTATATAATGTAGGAACATTCACATATATAGCGGGCAATTCTTATGTATTTACACACCTAACACCTAAACTTTCATATTCACACATATATCACTCAAATCTTTAATATCACATAAAAATAGCACTACTACCACTTTTTAAAAGTGAGATATACATTTTCATACTTAAATTTAAAGCACCAAAATGCTAATGTAAATATTGAAGTTTAGGTTTGAGATATGTAAACTTATAAGAATTGTGTGCTATGATTGTAAATATCCCTGTAATGTATTATTAAGGTTCACAACCACAAGGAAAACTTTCTCCATTCTTGTGTGTATGCTCCATCGATACTAATGTTTTTTATAATTTTAGATATCTGAGAGTAGGCATGCCATAGTGAAATGAACTATTTGAACTTATTTCGGTACTGCTGGTTTTCGGGATAAATCTTTGAGGGGAAGATCTAGAGGTTATGTTGGGTGGCTGTTGTTTCTTTGCGTTGAGCTAGATAATATAACACAGCATTATACTCAATTATTGATATTATAGTTTTTAGTTTTTGTTATTTGTCAGTGTAAAAACTAGCATAGCACTACCCTTTCATGGTCTTAAGATCTCTAAGATTTAGATCATGAATGTTCTTGTAAGTTTTATTTGACTTTTTTTTCCCTCTCGTTTTTCCAATCCATATTAACATGTTCCAATTCACATTGACATAATTATTCAACATTGTGAATTAGCATGGATAAATGATTGTGTTTTAATATGATGAAGCTAGAAGTTTTCTTGAAAGGGTCACAAGTAAGACAAAGTTAAAACACTTTATGATTTTAATAACAAGGTATTAAAGAAAAGAAAATTGAGATATATAAAATAGTTAAGGTTGGAAAATTGAATCTAGAGATTTTGATCATGTTAGATATATTTAGAATAATGCTAATAGGATTTTTAAAGGTAAGTTTCTAGAAAAAAGATGGGTATGTTATTTTGAGAAAGTTGGGTGAGATTTCCTTGTATGTCAGAGGAATATATCTATGAAATATGGTACAGAGTTACTTAAAAGTAATGATTGGAATCATTTCTATATAATGATAAAGCTCAAGGTCGTGTGAGTAACTAATTAAGATTTGAAGAGTTACCATGGATCATTGGCATTGTTTAGTTGGTAAGTTTTTTAATGAAACTCTAGAGATTAAAAGCATGTCAACTGTTTGAGAACTTGATTGAGCAATGAGTTGAACAATTTTCCTTTGATATGATTTTTATTGATCTGAAGTTTGCGATTCAGTAATTGAATGGATGGGATCATAGTTATTATAGGCTTGGATGATGGACTAGAGACTAGCAATTATGATTAGTTGTGGAATAATTAACTAGTTTCTTTGGTTTTGATTTAGTTGCGGAATAATCTTGATGTGTTAATGCCCAGTCATTCTTGCCATCCTTTGGTTTTGATTTAGTTTAAGCTAAAGCTGTTCTTGGGGAATATTTTATTTACCTTTTACCGGTATTTTTTCATTATGCGCACAAATTTTTTTGGTATTTATAAACTATTCTAAGCGGTGGCTACATTGATTTAGGGTGCTTTTGAACTCGGGTGTGCTGTTTGCCCGGTTGCTATCAAATACAACAAAATTTTTGTGGATGCTTTCTGGAACAGCAAGCAGTATGTATACAAGCTTTGCTTCAAACTTTTGCTACGTTTAATTTTGTTTTATATTGGAATATAGCACATTCAAGCTTCTTTTTTTCTCCTTTATAAATTGTGTTTGGCGATATGGCATAAAGTATAGAAATTATAATTGTTATTTAAATGAGGTTTTAAGCTAGCATTGTCATTATTGAAAAACCAAAGAGTGATAGTGCTGAGATGAATAAATGGAGGACCACTCACGTCTTAGTTTACCTCTGACTGCTCAACTCAATGGTTCCGTCAGTCGCGTTTTTAGCCGATGGAATTCGAAAGATGAGGGACATCTGGCCAAAGCTGAAAAAGATTTATGCGAGGACTGAGAACCACATGAGGGTATTCTAGATTCAACACAGGATGGAAGCTGTGGCATAGGGTGAGAAATTAATTCAAGAATACTCCATAGATTTAAAGAGGCTGTGGGCAGATCTTGATTACTTCTCACCGATGTCAAAGTTGTAGCAATCCAGTGCAAAAGAGGAGAGATCCTTACATATATGAGGACTATGCAATTTCTACCTCATTTAATTTCGGCCTGTGATCAGAGATCTGTCCTCCTAGCTCATCGACTATTCCTACACTAGATGAGGTCATTGCTGCGACGATGCAGTAGTAGAGTCGTATGAAGCTACACTTTGAGCCAAGTGGTTTTTTGGTTTCACGATCAACATTGGTTGCTGCAAATCGAGTTACGCTAAATGTCCAGGGGAGACTCACAAGTGCTACAATTGTGGTGAAGTTGGCCATCTGAGCAGGGCTTGTTCTAATCCACCTAAGGAAAAGTGAGACAGGTGGGTAGAGGTCGTGGTCATAGTGTGGGGATCAGAAAGGTGGAAAAGGGGGCCATCAGACAAATTTGATGGTAGTAGAGGATAAAGGAGAAATATGTGTGATCTTTTACTAGTGAAGATCATGAGGGTTTGGAGTTGTTGAAGAGGAAGAAGAAAGCATCAGGAGATGGAGTTGAGGATGTTTCAAATCCATCAACATGAAGGGGTACCATTGTCACCTATGCTTAGTTTAGCAAATGTACTGATTACACACTCGCTCTTACCTTTATTTTCACCACAGGATCATCATAATTGATCATAGATTCCAGTGTTTCTCGTCACGTGACAAGTACTGTTGGAGTGTTATCTTCATATACTCATCTAGCAGTACCAGAGAGTATACAAATTGTTGATACTACAAGCTGAATTGCTGATTCTTTTCCAGTAAACCTCTTATCCATTAGTATCATTATTCTTCAATTAAAATGCATTATTTCTTTTGATATTCCTCATGTGATCTTCCAAGAGAAAGGGAAGGGCCGAACACTTGGAACTGGAACGTGGCATGACGGACTCTGTTACTTGGACCGAGAGGGAATAGACTCAGCTCTGACATCAATGATGGAAAGTGCTACAGTAGGAGAATCTGGGAGGAACGTCGAAGATGTGTTACTGTTACATTCACAGACGTATGGGAAATTCTAGTTTTAGTTTACCGAGTCAGTTTTATCCATCTATATATGAAAAGACAAATAAGAAGAAATTGGTGTGTGATGTTTGTAAGTTTGGGAAAGCTCAACAGGAGCTTTTATGTCAGTTCTGGGAATAAGAGCTATGGTGTGTTAATTTTGATACATTCTGATGTATGGGAACTTTGCCCTACTAGTTCTATGAATGATTGTCGTTATTTTGTTGATTTTTTTCTCGTGTTACCTGGATATATTTGATGAAAGAGAAGAGTGGGGTGGTTGCTTGCTTTAAAGATTTCCACAAGATAATCCAAACCTAATGTAGGACAAATTTGAAGGCACTGAGATTTGATAATGAGACATAATATATCGACAAAGCATTTGGGGATTACCTGTCAGCTCAAGGGATATAACACCAAACCACATACCCATACATACCAACAAAGAATGGATTGACAGAGAGGAAGAATCAGCATTTTCTAAAAGTAGTCCGAAGCATGATGATAACAATGAATTTCCCACAGCACTTATGGGGGCAAGCAGTGTTGACATCCGCTCAATTGATTAACAGGATGCCCTCAAGAGTGCTTAAGAGGAAGTCTCCTTATGAGATGTTGAAAGGAGAAAATAGTGAGATTCTTTCATTTAAGGTGTTTGGATGTGTATGCTTTGTGAAAGACAACAAACCATCTGTGGGGAAGTTGGATCTCAGAGCTATAAAACATGTGTTTGTGAATTATTCTGTTACTCAGAAGGGTTTTGTTTGCTGGAGCTCAATTGAGTTGTGAGTATGGATGTCATTCAAAGAGTTTGAACCATACAATACTATAAAGGTGAATTCACCATTCGATGACTCAACAATCACTGAATATATGAGACAAGAGAGAGTTAGTAGTAGTGATGGAGTAGTGCAAGTGGGAGAAATGTCAATTCCTATGATGTGGGATGAATCAACCGAGGAGACGGAAATCGGGGAGATTGATCCCAGAGGTGGTCGATTCAAGATGAAGGTGAGCTAATGGTGTATACATGGAGGAAGAAGCAAACTGAGGGAATAGAGTCTGTAGTGCTAAGAAGTCTCTTGCTTCCCCAACTCTTGAGACACCTACACCATCCACTTTTGATTCAAAATTCTCAGGTGATATTATTACACCTCCGCCTGCTCCTAGCCCCTGATGTTAAGGAGGACTTTATGCAGCATTGTGGGACACCCTCTTGATTGTTTTGGGTGGGAACTTGACATTGCAAATTTTGTTTCTCATTCTACTCACCTTTGCATGGAACATTAATTGCATCATTGGACTCTATTTCTATACCTAAGTGTTGGAAGGTTGCTAAAGATGATCCCAAGTGGAAAGCGACAATGCATGAAGAGCTTGGAGCTCTTGATAAAAACCGAACATGGGAGATTGTACTACTGCCAACAGGGAAGAAAACAATTGAATGCAAGTGGTTCTTCACGGTAAAACAAACTCCAGACGGGAAGGTAAAAGCAGGACTAATGGCAAAAGGGTACATTCAGATTGATGTCATTTGACTGCGATGAAACCTTTGCACCAGTAGAATAGATGAGCACGGTGAGGGCACTGACTTCTCTAGCAAGGAATGATGGATGGAGACTCCGACTTGATGTGAAGAATGTTTTTCTTCATAGGGAGTTATTGGAGGAGGCATATATGGAGATACCACCATGATTCAGTGCATCCCAGATTGTGGGCAAGGTTTGTAGGCTCAGAAAGTCACTGTATAACTTGAAGCAGTCTCCTCGAGTCCGGTTTGATAAGTTTAGAATGACTATAATTAACATGGGATATCAACATATCAATGCAGACCACATAGTATTCTTTCGACAACATTAAGGTCACACTACCATACTTGCTATGTATGTGGATGACATAATTATCATCGGTGATGCTGAGACAGAGATTAATCAACTGAAGGGAAGATTTGGAAAATAATTTGAGGTAAAAGATCTGGGATAACTCAGATACTTTCTTGTGATTAAAGTGACCCATTGACCTGAGGGGATGATCCTATTCTAGAGAAAGTATGTACTGGATCTTCTCATGGAGATAGATATGCGGGGTGCAAACTTGCAGTCTCTCCAATTAATCAGAAGGTCAAGCTCCGTACAGAGACAGGTGAATCAGTTGATCGTTAGATACCAGAGACTGGCGAGCGGCTTGATTTATCTGTGTCACACTCGATCCGATATTTCTTTTGTCTTAAGTGTGGTGAGTCGCTATATACGTGATCCAAGGAAGGGTCACATATGGATGCAGTGTGTCAGACTCTGAGGTATCTGAAGAGTGCGCTAGGGAATGAGTTGATATTTTGGAAGAATGAGCATGTAGATATTGAATTCTTTTGTGATTATGACTGGGCAAGTTGTGTTGATGGCGGGTGATCTACATCATGATACTGCATGTTTGTAGGTGGGAACTTGGTCTTATGGAAGAGCAAGAACTAGTCAGTTGTAGTAATATGAACAAAAGAGACAGAACAGGGCCATGGCATTAAAAGCTGTTGAGATGATGCCTCAACGTGGATCAGGGAACTTAAATGAAGTTGTGGTGTGACAACAAGTCATCAATCAACATTGCTAACAACCCGGTGCAATATAATATAACTAAGCGCGTGGAGATTGATTGATTTTTCATCGAGGAGAAGCTAAATAACGGGTTATTGGAACTAAGTCGTATAGCTACTAGAGAGCAGGTGGCTAACTCCTTCACTAAAGGATTTAATTCAGCAGAGTTAGCTCAGTTCAGAGTTATATGTAATAAGTGGATTTTATTGGGTTTATTTGTTTATTTTAAACACATGCTGAATGAAATAGTAAGTTTATGGCTTATTATCTTTCAATTGGTTTAAATCAAGTTGTTGTGTTGGATCAATTTTTTTACACAACTGTAGGGCATACTGATTTTCCTTTCAAGATAGACGTTGCCAATGCAGAGGCAGTTGAAGGAAAATGAGAAAGAGGAGTGATTAGGGTTGTGGGATGTATTTTTGCCATTCTTGCTGTCTAAATAGTATTGCCTAATTAGAATATCCTTTCCCAGATCTTGTTTGATATTTTTCAGAGCATTGTTAAATTAACATTGTATATCATTTGCCATATGCCATTAATGATCGATGCGATGAAATTTATAAAATTCTGAAGCTGTTCAATCGCTGCAATAACTGTATTATATTTTAAGCTGGTCTTTGTAATGCTCATTTGAACAATCTGGCAGACAATCATTTACAATGCATTTAGTCCGCCTGATGACATCATGGGCTGTTGTATGTGATGTGTGGTACCTAGAACCTCAGTATCTCAGGCCTGGAGAGACGCCTATTGAATTCGCTGAAAGGTGATATTTTGTTAAGGAAGATTTACATGCATACCATTCAAGTCCTATGTATTTACATATCTAACACCTAAACTTTTTTACATACGCACCGCCTTAAATATGCATGAGAAAGTGTATTTAACTTTTTAAAAGTTAAAATGGTGGTATTTTTTATCTAACATGGAAGATTTTTGTGTTACAAATTTAAAAAGTAAAGTTTTGGTGTTAGGTGTGTCAATACATAGGAATTGGGTGTTATGTAAATGCTCTTTTTTTATATGTATAACTCTTATAATTGTTTTTTGCTTATACTCTTAAAGGGATTGTCCTCCATTTCTTCATCTTTTTCTTTAATCTATCAAATTTTATGTAGGGTTAGAGACTTGATTGCTGCTCGGGCTGGCCTGAAGAAGGTTCCCTGGGATGGATATCTTAAATATTACCGCCCGAGTCCTAAGCTTACTGAAAGGAAGTATGTAAATTCTCCTTTTGCTTTAACTTTGCGATGTAAACAATGTGATTTATTTTTTGCTTATTGGTGTGTTTTTGATCGAAAATATGATTAACAAAACATAATGCAATTCACAACATTTCATATGTTTATGCTGTAATGCTGTAGAAAATACCTACATTTCACAATTTCCAGTAAAACCATCCAATTTCTATAAAGAAGCAGGAACAGATTCTCCAGATGCCAATATGCTAAGGGGCATTTACATACATACCACCCAATTCATGTATTTGCATATCTAACACCTAAACTTTTTTTTTTTACATTCATCACCCAAATCTTTCACATCACTTAAAACATACCACCATTTTAACTTTTAAAAAGTGATGTGCACCGTTTCATTCATAGGTAATGTGACATGTATGTAAAAATTAAAGTTTAGGTGTTAGATATGTAGATACATAGAAATTGAGCGGTATGTACGCAAATCTTCCATATTTTAATTATTTAATGAAAAAAAGGCCATTTAATTTTGTCATATTTACTTACCAAATAGGTATTTAATGGACCCCACAAAATAGCACCCAGCATGCCTTTTCAGGTATTGTGAACTACAAAAAATAAAAGCAACTTTGTTGTTTACTCGAACAATTCTGAGCTTTTATATTGTTTGTCAAGACGTGGCTTTTCTTGTGGGCAACTTCTAGTTAGAAATCTGGGTATTGGGTATACGTAAATATTTTGTTTACATATGAATTGGTTAATACTCCAATGTCATATTTTTATATGAAATATAAAAGCTGTTTAAAACTAAGTTACTTAGTCCATTTAACAAATTATCAAGTACAGTTTTTGTTTTTCCTATGAAAATATATGCAATCTTAGTAAGTAGATTATAAAATCAAAAACAATGTAGAATTTCATTGCAGTTATGCTTGGATAATTGTCCTATCTACATTTTCTATTATAATATACATCTAAAATTACAGCAACTTTCCTTTTTTATTATTTTTTTTATGTGATACTGAGTGCTATGTGTGTAAATATAAAAATTTATGTGTGAGATATGTAAATACATAAAAACTGTGTGCTATGCATGTAATACCCCATATATTATATGTGTGGGGCATTTTTTTATGTGATATTGAGTGCTATTGTGTAAATAGGAAAGTTTAGGCATGAGATATGTAAATACATGAGAATCGTGTGCTATTGTTTATATATAAAATAGTATGTTTGATGAGCTGATTTATAACTTAACCCATGCCGTAGACACATTTGGCTCATAAACCCACTAACAATTTGTTTCACTTACAAGCTAACAACTCTAGATTTACTCTCCAACCCATGTAATGGGGTATTTCATAATTACATGTTTTGTGGCTGTTTATTGTTCCAGGCAGCAGATTTTCGCCGAGTCCGTTCTGCAGCATCTTGAGAAATAAATGGATCTCAGATTTCATAATTTTAGCCTGGAATAACAAATCCACCAATTCCCTTCTGTAGCTGATCTTATTTATTTGTTTATTTTTTTAAATCTAGTATTTTGTTTCAATTTGAAATTCTCTGAAACTTGTTAAGGAATACCAAAAGTTTCTACGGCTTTGTGTTGTTGTGCAGAGGATGACATTTTGTAGTTATTTGTACTTGTGTGAGCATTTTGAATAATTGCTTTGTTCTGGGAGGGAATGAAGAACTGTGGATCTGTGAGGTGATTACAATTTTGAAATCAGGGGCAGATTTATAATTTTTTTAAAAGCAAAGTGCAAACCTAGTCTCATGATTATTTACATTGGATGATTTTAGTCCCAATGTCTATAAAATATCAGTTTAGTCCACAAGACAATTTAAGAGGGCTAAATGATTCATTTTGGGGAATGTTTCAGCATATATTAGAAGTCAAGTGATTTATTTAGGACTAAAATGAACCTCCTAGAAAGAGTCAGGAGATAGTTTTAACATTGTTTTCTTATTTTGTGAACAATATTAGGATAAAATTGAGCTTTATGATGTTAAATTATATTAGTTGCAAGCCAGAGAAATGCTATGGTGAGTCTGCAATGTTGTTATCTCTCTCGAAGATTGGAGTAAATATTACGTGCAGTAGCTGCTTGTTCGGGCAACGATCTGAATAGGTTGTTGTGCATCATCTGTTTTCCAAACATGTGGCATATTGCACTTAATATTTTCTCCTAAGAATGGGAGTTGGGGCATCTATATGTGTAGTTTATCCTTTTGTATTTTATCAGCTTTATTTTTATTTTATTTGTATGTATGTATGTATGTATGTATGTATGTATGTATATTGATCTATATGTATCTGTATATACTCCCATACATACAGAGAGAACTCACGAATTTCATGGAATTTGATGGTGCATATAATTTTTTTAAAAGTGTTTGTTTAATTTGTGCCTTTTTTATAAACTAGATTTTTTAAAATTATTAACAATATAACGGGCCAGTAAAATTGTCCAAAAATATTAAAATCAAACATTTATCAAAGTCTTCTCATTCAATTTACCTAGAAAGATAATTTTGACTTTCCAAACCTAATTGTTATGAAGTAAGAATGGTCGGTGTACATCAAAAAGGCATCTGGATTGATCTTAAAGAGATCCAAAAGTCCATAATAGAAGAATACAACTAAGACGGTTCTACTACAAGGAGATCGTGAGGCCCACATGATCAAACGAGCCAAGTCAACAAGGTTAAAAATGGCCTAGCCAAAAAGGTGGACAAAAAGATGACCGAGTGATCCAAGTGTGAGCCATCAAACTGAAAGTGAGATAAGAAAGCGTTCGTGCCATCTGCTACAGGGAAGCCAACTCGATGTAATATCATATCCCACAATGGAGCTGACACAATGAAAAATTCATTTTCACAAAGAATCTCTGACAACACATGGGAGCCCAATGACTCCTTATTAGGAATGGAAGATAGTCACTTAGGTTGAATCGACCGACAAAATCTTACCAAATAAACGCAACCAAGCTAACCCCGTCGACCCCAAATAAAATAAGTATGATCGATGATAAGCCTATACTCATAAAATACCATAAATAACTTAGTACAGACCCTCCTCAAACAGGAGTTAAAAAATGTAATATCATAATGTACTACTAAAAAATTCTACTTTTGACAATTAAAATAAAATTATTTAAAGGGCCAAATTTAGAAATAAATAAACAGTAACTATTGCTGATTTTTTAGCTCACTCAAAAAATAAAATAAAATAAAATAAAATAATATAATGTATTTAATTCTACATTTAATAAAATCAAATTAAATAAAGTGCATGACCGACTATTTAAAACAACAAATTTGATATAATATTTCCATGATTTATAATCAATTTGATGACGACTATACATTTCTTTTTAATATTTTCATCAAATTTAAATAAATTAATTTTTTTAAATAAATGAATATCAAAATATAATACAAAGTGCCCAGCAAAGCTATAATTCAAACTCACCACAGAAGAGAAGAGCACACGACCTTCCAAGAATTTGAGGGCTTAAATACTTACGGACTGAGGAGTCCGCACGAATTTCCAAAAATTTGAGGATTTAATTCCTGCGAACTGAAGACAGCGCACGAATTTCCTAAAATGAGGGGCGGAAATTTTTCTTCGCACGTGCTAATTTTACACGTGCTTCATCAAACTTTTTGAAATTCGTGCGGTCTACCCTCATAATTTTTTAACTTCAAATTTCTTAAAATTCGTGCGATCTTCAGTCCGCAGTAAATAAATCCTCAAATTTTTGGAAATTCGTGCTCTCAAATATCTTAAAATACGCAATTTCTCTTCTTCAGTGCCAAACAATTCATACTAAATTCTGAGTATTAATATGGCGGACTTTTACATGCATATCACCCAATTTTAATTTATTTAGAGATTAACCCTTATAATTTCTCTGAATTACGCCTCCGCCGCCCAAATCTAAGATGTCCAATGAAATCACGTCACATGACAGTAACTGAAAAAAATAAATAAAATATGTCTGGCAACACAAGAGAATATTCCTCCTGTGTTATTCATGTGTTATTGTGTTTTATTTAGGTATTGTTATGTGTTATTCAAGTGTTATTGATGTGTTGATATGTTATTATAATACCAAAAATATTTCTAGAACACAATAACACCTGAATAACATATAATAACACATGAATAACACAAGAGGAATATTCCCGTGTTATTAGACCGATTTTTTTTTGTCACATCTACGTGACGTGATTTCATTGGACTCTATATGTAAATTTATTTGCGGAGTCCCAATGCAATATTTTTTTTTTCTAAAAATAAAGCTTAGGTATAACTAAAAATTGAGTGGTACATATGTAAATCTTCCAAAAAAAATTTCTGCCTTATTACCATCCGCATTTTAAAATTTTATTTCTTCCTCTACATAAACATTACCATAAAGAATTTGAAAATCTCTTACATTCATTTTACAGACATCCAAAAAAAAAAAAAATTTATATAAAGAACCCTGAATCTACTAGAAAGACAGTGCTGGCTTTCTAACATCACAACCAGCAAAATTTTGCCTCATGGAGCCATCCATCTCCTCCAAGATAACATTTTTCAATCTAACTAACCACTAGGACGACAATGGCGACGCCGAGCCCTCCTCGTCAGAGCTTTCCGGCCTCAAAGCTCGAAGCTTTGGGAACAGAGAGGGCAGATTAGGGTTAACCGGCACCGGAATCTGTCGAATGGAGCTCGCAATGGTTTTATCCGTTATTTTCCCCACCTCCCTGCAAACCTGATCAAGAATGCACAAGAAATCCCTAACCACCATGAAGATCCTGAAAGGATGAGCTTCTTCCTTGGCAGAGTTGCCATGAAAGTACTCTGTTATCTCCTTCACTAAGGACAGTGCGACGCTCTCCTGAGCCTGAACCTGTATGATCTGATCCTCTGCCTTCTTCATGAAGCTCCTCAAGGATTCATTGAACCTCTGGTCTCCATCTCCGGCGAGTTTCAGAACCTCTGCTATCTTACTGATTCCTCCGGCGAGTTTGGAGACGTAGCTGCTGAGAACATCGGAGTCCATGGAAGCTGACTTTTTGACATTGCTGAGTTCGCTGCCGAGGCCTGCGACGACATGGAGGCCGCGGCGACAGCACTCGAGGTCGTCGCGGAGGGAGTTTGGTTGGGTGGTAGTGGTGGTGGTGGTGGAGGAGAGGCGAGAGCCCTCTGCTCTGATGACCTCTTGGACGACGAAGTGGAGGAGGGTGGTATTGCCGTCGGCCGCCTTGACGTCGACGAGCTTGAGGAGGGTGTCGAGCTTGAAAGAACGAGCGTCACCGCGGTTAGTTCCGACGTTCATCCGATTGCCAGTTTTCAGAACGGCTTCCAGCAGCTTCAGGAACAGTTTGCTGCTTCGGAGCTCTTCGCAGGCCACCTGAATGCAGAACCAAAGAGTTGAGTTATTTTGTTTCTTTGAGAAAATTTACATACATGCCATACAAGTCTTATGTATTTACATATCCAACATCTTATATTTATATTTATAATAAATTGGTATCATAAGTAAGTATTTTATTTTTTACTAATATAGTGTTTGTGCTATTTATAATGTGATGTTAAAGATTTGAGTGATATGCACGTAAATCTGAGTGCTGAAGTGTTAGATATGTAAATACACAAGAATTGAGTGGTGCCTACGCAAATGCTATAATTAGTATAAATCTTAGGGGGATTTACATATTTCACAGTAAGTAATTCAAGAAAATATGAAATTTTAATATATTTTTGTATGAATTTGCTTTGAGATGCGTGCAATATATACAATTTCATTGATTCCGTGTGCATTGAATCGAGGGTGAACTTAAGAGGGGGCAGGGGCTTGAGGAGTTTAACAGTAAACATTCAAACAAAGATTTAATTTATGCTCTCTACACCTTGTTGAGAAAACTTTTTTGGATCCTCCACTATATTGCACTAATCTCAAAGCAAATTCAATGATGCGACACCCATCACAACAACAATTTTACAATGTTCCAAATAACAAACACTGCCTGTAAATGCTACCATTCCAAACATCAATCAAACATGTCAAGAAGAGAGTGGAAGTGAGAGATAGAGAGAGAGAGTGAAGAAAGAGATAGATAGATAGAGAGAGAGAGAGAGAGAGCTTACTTCGAGAGTTTCGAAGGACTTTTTAAGGTAATTGACCTCAGAATCAAAATTGACAATGTAAAGCATTGCATCTACTCTCTTGAATGCAAAAGGAATATCAAGCAAAGCCTTGAGGAACTTCTCAGCTGGACCAAGCTTGATGGAGGAGTCATCATTGTATTCTCTCAGCTTATCCTCTTCCTCCTTGCTAGGGGCCATCTTAAGAAGAGTCTCCAAAAGTTCAGTTCCCAAGCCCTCAGTGTTCCCTGCTTCAATAAAATCACCAATATTCTCCATAATCAGACCAAAATATCAAATTTATGATAAAAAGATGGGGCTTTTACATACATACCACACCTTTTCTTTACATAGTTAGCGACTAGATCTTTCATGTTGCATAAAAAATACCACTATTTTAACTTTTAAAAAGTGAAACACATCTTTTCATGTATACCAAACATATATTTATAGATCAATTGTAGTTTCTTTGAACAACATAACAACAAATCGAGAAATCAATCACGTTGTGCGTAAAATTGTGATTACATTAAGGTATTTTTTATTTATGAAGATTCTAGACATGTAGGTCTAAGTGAAGGTAACTTCTAATGTTTAAGTTGTGGAGTTTAATTAATGTTGTACAAAACATATGTTATACATATTAAATATGTTTACAACCTATTAAGGATATCCAATCTTTGAGAATTGATTCATTGAAAGGATATTTTTATAATTTCACATTTTAATATCAATTATCTTAGCTTTTCTTTATCATTTTAAATAATGCTTTGTCACTAAGGTTTTGTATGTCAAGGGGTAAAAGAGAAGCCACAAAAATTTCATGTAAAACCCTCATCATCATCATCATCATCGTGAAATCTACTATGATAGCAAAAAAAAATGCCCATAAATTGAGCAACATACAAAAAAAAAAAAGAAAATTTATGAAAATGTGCTTTATTTTATTGTGTTAATTTGCTCTCAATCGTTCGAAAAAGCTCGCAAACCTTTATCATCATTGTAGTGAAAATTATTGCGATGACAATAAAAAATGCTCAAAATTGGGCGAACATACAAAAATGTTATCAACATGTATTCTAATTCCTTCAATTTATTTGATCAATTGCTCAAAATGATTTGAAAAGCCGTCAAATCTACTCCCAACATCTTAGAACCAAGAATCCACCATTGTTAGAAAAACCAAGGAACCAGCCTAAAATAATGATGTTTTCTAAGATCAGCATCACCATAAGCATCTACAAGGAGCTAAAAAAACTACAATTTTCCTAAAAAAATTCAAAATCCCATGAAGAGCAACTGATTTTTAACATGAATATTCTCATATAAAACATTCATCATCATTGTCATCATCATAGTAAAATCTACAGCGACGACAATAAGAAATGCACATAAATTATGTGAACTTATGAAAAGATTACCAACATGTGTTTTATTTTCTTCTATTTATGTGCTCTCAATGATTCGATAAAGCTCCCCGAACCTACTCAAACACCCTAAATCAAGAATCCACCAAAGCCAAGGAATCAACCTAAAATCATGATGAGTTTAAGATCGGCATTCGTCATAAGCATCTTCAACGACCTCTAAAAACTACAATTTATTTTTTCAAAAGAAGAAAAATTTAGTGAAGGGTGAGTCATTTAGAACATGTAATTTAAACTAGATTAAAAGAGGCTTTGATTATCACCTTCCAACAAGGCCTCGCAGACCTCCTCCTTAGTGACATTTAAAGCCCTCAGCGATATGGCAATGTTCTGAGACTTCTTTGGATCAAGAACTCTGTTCTCTTGTTTGGGCAAAGGGAGCAACTGCGTCTTCTTCGTCTCCTTCGATTTGCTGTTAGTTCCATTACAGAGGAACAAGGACTCGATCATCTCCTCATTCACCCTGAAAAAAAAAAGAGATTCATAAAGTTTCGATTTTTAAGAGAAAAAAGGAATAATAAGTTCAGTTTATGATCAAAGAGAAGAAAATTGTTCAATTTTTTTACTGGAAAGAGCTTGATTTGAGCTGATCCCACACCATTGCTCGATCTGAGCTAGCTCTCACTTTGTCCCAATGTAGGGGCTTCAGTTTCGGCCGAGGTGTCTCCTCATTCTTCTCCTGATTCTCTAAATGGATCTCTGCAAATTTGGTGGAAGCGATCGGGTTTGGAGAGACGAGAGAAGGTGGACTGTTCAACAGAGATCTTCTTATTTTACTCTCCCAATATCCAGCGCGCGGAGGCGGCGGCGGAGGCGGCGGCGGAGGTGGTGCTGGCGTGGATTTCAACGGATTGGCCTCAACCTCCCCATTTCTCTCCACAAGCTGAAGATTTTCAAAAGATGAGCTTTTATTCTTCTGCAGGGGAACTATCAGTTCACTTGACTTCAGATCTGACTTCTTCTCAACCGAAGAAGAAATCGGAGAAGGTTGCTTTACTGTCTTCCCCGTCGGCTCCGGAATTGAAGGCGAGGACATTTCCGGCGAGCTCATAGCCTTAAATCCTCCGCTACTAGATCTCAAACTCATAGACTTCGCCGTCGATTTCTCCGGGCTCCAGCCCGACGGCGGAGACATCGCCCGCGGCGAGCGAGATTCGGAGCCAGAGGAGGGATATGATGGAGTGGTACTCAATGTCTCGTTACCCGACACGCAAGCCTCCATGGCCGCCGTTGGGAATTCCTTTTGGGAGCTCGAACCCCTTCCCAACGAAGAGTTCCTCGGTGAGTAGAACTCCTCCGATGGCGAGGAGCACCGTACATCGGCATTGTGGTGATGGACCTGTCTGGACAGAGGAGGCAGCGGCCGGAGCTCAGGGGAGCTACCGGTTTCACAGACGTCGGAATGATTGGGAGGGAAAAGGTTGGCCTTTTGAGGAGGAGGGGAATGAGTGGCACTGCTGGCACTGCGGGAGCGGCGGCGGAGGTAGAAGGCGAGGGTGAGGGAGATGATGGAGAAGGTGAGGAGGGGGAGCAGGACAGCGGCGGAGAGTTTGGCGGAGGAGGATCGGCGGCGAGAAGAGGTGGAGGAATTGGGGAAAACGAGGGAGGAGATGTTGGCGGGGAAGGTGGGCTGGTTGGAAGACGAAAAGGGAGGAGGAGGGGGAGGGAATTGAGGGAAGAAAGGAGGGGAGTCGGAGGAGAAGGGGTATTTGGTGAAGGGGGCGGCGGGAGGTTTCGCCGGCGGTGGTGATTGGGTTGAGGGAAAGAAGGGATCTTGGAGAAGCTTTCGGCTGTGGGCGGCTGGGAGGAGGAGGAGGAAGAGGAGGAGGAGGAAGAGGAACGAAGAAGAGGGAGTGAGCATAGCTGGAGAGAGCAGGAGAGAGAGAGAGAGAGAGAGAGAGGAGTAAGTAGGAGGAAGTGCTTGTCGGTGAAAGAGAGAGAGATTAATATTAGTCTTTAGTAACATGCTTCACTAATTGTGGCCATGAGTAAGAACTTTTTACTATTTTAGGGAGGCTTTACATGAATTTATTGTTTGATAAATAATGAACTAAATTTAATATTTTTATTAAAAATTAATTATCAAGTAAATATAGTTTAAATAATTTATCACTCAATCTCATTATGAATAATAATTTTTTTTTAAATTATATATATATATATATATTTAAAAAAGATCCCAAACAGCCTCTAACATTTTAGTAGTTTCTACTAGAAATAGTGCTTAGAAAATATAGAACATTTTATTTGATTTAATAAACACTAAGACATGTGATTTTATTTGAAAGAGAAAAGTAGCATATTTTGTTCTTTGAAATATTTTTTTTAAATAATAAATGACAATTATTGGGTAACCTTTTTGGGGAAATTAAGGGGGGTATAAGAAGCGCAGTCAATATCATTTTCTTGTTTTAAATGATTATTGATTGTTACATAATATTATTCTATTGGCCCCATTAAATAGTTATTTGAGCTTTTATCAATATATATATATATATATATATATATATATATATATATATAAAATATTTTTTATAGGGAATTACATGTATCATCCAGTCCCTATGCATTTACATATCTAACACCATTTTTTTTCTACATTTATTTTTAATTTTTAAATACTGACTATTTTTTACATGAATTGAGATTGTTCGGTTAAAAAAAGGCTTCATTGCAAATGTAAGGAAATATTAAATTTGTGTATAAATATTTGTATTAATTTTTTTCAATATTAAATTTTTAATTATTTCAAAACCAATAATACAATAGATTAATTAATTAAACTTGTATTATGCGTTTTGAGAAAAAATAAAATAAAATTAATCCTTCTTTACATTTTCATATAGGGTAATCGCTTAGATCCCAATGTCACACTATATTTGCACATATGTTGGACAATTTGTTTGAGGTTAAGGGTCAGTTTGAGGCAGCTGCAACTTATTTAGCTTATCCAGATAAGCAGCTTATCCTGATAAGCTGGTGATAAGATAGTCATTACTTGAGAACATATTTCAAAATAAATATAGAAATTTAAAAACTATTATAACAAAAAAATTGAATTAAAAATTCCAATCAAATGTTAATGTAGATTTTCCTTAAAAAAAATGTCTACAATAATCATTATTCATATTATTATATATCTATATAAATAATGATATAAGTTTGCGGGATATGTTACTCAACTGCTCATTTTAATAAAAAATAAATAAATAATTTTTAATTATATAGTGCTTAACGGTTGATATAATTAAAACAAAAGTCGTAGAGGGTAACATGCTCATTATTGATTAGTTTTTTTTATATGGCAGAAATTGAGGGTTTAGATACATTAATTTATATTGACCAAAGTATCATGGCATCTATTCATCTATATTTTTTAGTTGGAAATATATAATCTTCCCATGAAAGGAAAAAAAATGTGTCATGTATGTAAATAAGAAAACTTGAGGGTTTTATATGTAAAAAAACCATAACTTTGAATTGAATGAAATGTCTGGTCAGTTGGACTGAGATATGATTTCTCTCATATCACATTTTTATGCTAAATAATGATCCTTTAGTACTGCATGCAATAAAATATTTATTTTCATAAAACAGAATATCTGCTTACATCAATAACAGAGATTAAAAATAAAGAATTAAAATTAAAAGATATTGGAATTATCTTTGTAAGATGAACTGATAGCAACTTGTTAGTGCCAATAATAAATAAATTGAATAAATTAAAATATAAACAAACAGAGTGCATTTTGTAGGGATCATTCACATGAAAAAGTATTATATCAAGACTTTGCACGTAGAGTTACATGCAAAGTCCAATGAAATCATGACACACGTGAAGGTGAGAAAAAAAAAATCGGTCCAGAAACACAGGGGAATATTCCTCCCGTGTTATTCAGATGTTATTGTGTGTTATTTATGTTTTATTGTGTTATTATAGCATCAGAAATATTCCCATAATACAATAACACCTAAATAAAACGGGGAGGCCGTGTTACCGGACCGAATTTTTTTTCTCACTTTCACGTGTGGCGTGATTTCATTGGGTTTCACACGCGTGTGCCGTGATTTCATTGGGTTTCACACGTAACTCTACCTGCGGAATCATGGATGTAATATTTTTTCCATTCACTTACATATACCCCAATTCTTGTGTATTTGCATATCTAGCATCAAATTTTTTTTTCTCCATTAGTACTACCCAAATCTCTCATTTTAGTTTTAAAAATTGAATTATTAGTTTTAAAAATTGAATTATCTTTTTTTTTTTTTCCTGCAAAGCTAAGATGATTTGAATAAAAAAGTAAGGATTTAGATGATAGATATGTTAATACGTAAAAATTGAGTGGTATACGCGTAAATCTCCCATTTTGCAATTGAGTACAAGGTAGTATCCAAATAAAAGGACAAAGAAGCAATATTAGGTAATCATTTAATGCAAGATCAAATTATGTTAATTGTCATGCAATTAATTATAATGAAATCATGATGATTTTTGTTGGTTACAGCTAATTCATGAAATAAAGGGCGGGCTAGACCGTTGGAATAGGTTTACTTTAGTATTGGGCCTACCTGTGAAGACAGCAGATAAACCAAATCCTTCACATTTACCTATCGATATTGTTATATAAATCAGCAACTGGATTGCTATTATCACCAAGGAATATTCAAGTCATATAATTTTCTATTAAGTATAAAAATAAAATACGTATTTTAAATAAAATTGTTTAACACTATTCTATGTATATATATATATATTATATATATGAAAGCACTGTTAAATAAAGTCCTAAATTACCCCAAAAATATACATAAAATTAAGCTAGTGGATTAATCAAAACTCTTCCGGAGCAAAAGGAAATTTATTGAATGGCTTCTATTTTAATAATATATCTCCACACATTTGCTTTTTACTAATTTAATATAATAGAGCAGGTATAATGTACACCAATTAGATAAGATGACAAATCAATTTTAAAACACATTTGGATTCGAAAAAGACAGGAATCTGATTAAAAAAGACATAACAAGAACAATAGTCATAAAAAACATTATACATATACCACTCAATTCCTATATGTATATAGGGCATTTACACACATATCACTCAATTCCTATATATTTACAAATCTAGCACCAAAACTTTACATTTTACATTTTCACCATCCAAGTCTTTCATATGACAAAGAATAACCTCATTTTAACTTTCAAAAGCGATGCATCTTTCCATGCATAGGTAAGGTGATATGTATGTAAAAAATTGAAGTTACAAGATATAAAAATACATAAGAATTAAATGGCATGAATGTAAACATTTCTATATAGTTATTTATATTTATATCTACATATTGAGCACATAAAATAAAAAATTTAAAGGTTTTGGGTTAAAATTAAATTGACTAACTTTAATCTGGTCACATATTCCTTTATAATTCAGAAGGCCCACTCACGGTCCAGCCATTACTAATGCTGCATAAAGCACTCAGAATGAATATGTCTAAAAAGTAATTTCACACTTTCGCACACGATTTAGAACACGTAGTGCTAAGTGGGTGAGCACAACGGCTATACGGACCGACCCTTTAAGCACTTTCACAAAGGAAATCACATGTAAAAGAAAAGACGGTTTTCCTTCGTTTCGAAGTTTCAGGTAAAATAAAACATTAATTAAAACAAATTAAAATTGAATTTAATTAAATTGAGATTACATAGAAATGTTTTATTTATTTATTTATTATTGTGGTTGTATGAATAGCCAGATTGGGCCATCCCAACGCTCGAATGTTAAGACCAGGCCAGAAGACCGTACAGCCCAGGGGACCATTGTCCTCACCATCGAGTGCTAGCAACCACAAATATGATTCATGTTATTCTACAGGGTGCAAGCGGCCAATTACAGAAATATACTGTGCAAATATTTTACAATATCATAAATCTATATTTCATTAAGATGCATTTCATGTGTCCATATTTCCTATGTTGTATGGGGTCTCGAAAACAACATAGCCTTTAGGCATTCTATTACCAAACGCACGGAAAGCAGAAAGCCACTTCAAAGCTATGATATTTAATTAAAATGAAAATTTACATACAAGCCACACAATTACCATGCATTTACAAATCTAGCACGTAAAATTTGATGTTTAGGTTGCATGAAAAGATGTGTTTCATGTTCAAAAAGTTAGCCATGATGATAATTTTGATGTGATATAAAAACTTTTTGAGTGTTATGCATTTAAATATAAAAAATGGGGTGTTATATATGTAAATACATAAGAATTGTGCGGTATGTTCCTAAATGCTCCAAATTAAAATGAAGGAAGATTTGCATACATACACTTAATACCTATGCATTTAAACTTCAATTTTTATATAGAAGCCACCTTACCTATACATATATAGGTGTATTTCCCCTTTTTGAAAGTTCGAATAATGGCATTTTTTGATGTGATATGAAAGATTTTGATGGTATAAATATAAAAAATCAAGTTTAAGTGTTAAAGGTGTAAATACATAGAAATTGGGTGGTATGTATGTATAATGTATATGCCCCTAAAATAAAAAGAAAATGCTACCTTCAAAGCCAGCATTAATTTTGATCACAAAACCACACTAAATAAAAGATTAACCAGAGATAGTCAAAGCAGACAAATTAATTGAACGCAGGACAAAAGAGAGAGTAATAAGGTCTAAGGTGAAGAAAACTGAGAGCAGAAATAAAACTATTTACTGATAGTGGGGGTCTAACTCTGGCCGACGCCATTGTCCGATTTGTCTTTTAGGAAATGGGAGAACCAGAAAGCAGATGATTTGGGGTACCTCTTTAGCCCGTTTTTGTAGTCCACATATACGAGCCCAAAACGCTTGGTGTAGCCCTGGGCCCACTCAAAATTGTCTAATAAGGACCAAGCAAAATATCCCCGGACGTCCACACCATCCCTGCGAGGAATGAACAGTTTGTCACTTGTCAGGCATCATCCAGAAAGGCATTCCAATTCGCAGCTCAATTTTTAAGAATTTATTTGGGATCATTTTTATATTCTTCTTTTAATTTTAAGAACATGCTTAATTTTTATATTTTTAATCCATTATATTTAACAAATCAATTTTTTTTTTTTTTAAAAAAGCAAGAACACCTAAAAGAAGTTTTTAGTATTTTTAAAAATAAATACTTCAATAAAAAATGTATTAATTTAAATCAAAATATGAAAGAGTAAAATAAAAAATAAAAAAAATAAAACACAAAAAACAAAAGCAATCCCAAAAACCCCCAAGTAAATGGGTAGAAGATTTTAGTTGCACAAAAAGGAGAGAGTGAAATTTACATAAATATCACAGAATTCTAATATATTTACATAACTAACATATAACCTATATATTGTTGACCTCATTTTCGAATGAAGTCTTCAATTTTCTCCATAGAGCCTAGAGTTTAGCTTTAGACTTCTCTTGTTTGAACCTCCTATAGGACTCGTACGAAACCCACACCATTTAGAAAATTCGAGCCACATCGTCACTCCTTCGAGTTTCGCATGGGCGGTCCTAAATCATCGGCATTCAGTTGAGTTGATTATGATCAACACATAAAACTCGAGTCTAGTTCCTACATTAATAAAAGTAGCCCCTAGAGAACCCCTTTGCGACCCGAACGCTCGATAACGCCGCATTTTTCGCAAGCATCGTACCTCGCACGATTTTGGCTTAAATTGACTCGTCCGTCGAATTCGTCCGGATGACCCCAGATGATGAAACGGACCACAAGGATGCTTCCGGGACGTCGACTTTAGCTAGAAAGGAGTACCCATATCGTTATGGTTTCGCGCGTGAGCAACTAGCACGAATATCGATGCACATTTTTTTTAGTAGTGCGCGGGCCTAGACTCAACCCAGGTTCGATTCAGGTTGGATTCGGGCCGAACATGGGCTAGGCACTAGCTCACCTGAATTTAAAATTCAAATTTTAAAATTCAAACAAATCATTTAAATTTTGTCTTAATTAAAAATATTCAGGTGTTAATACCTTCCAATTAAACCTCCATGCATATGGAAACCATTTAATTCCCCATCCAGCGCATGCTTAACGACTATTTGGAATTCAATGGATAAAGATCCCGCTCGGACTTCGCCTTCGGGGATTTTCATTCGGCTCCATCTTCCTCTGACAACGAGATTCGGCTCCTCTCCTCGGCACCGAGTCTCGACCGCTCCATCCTGCACGCCTCTCCTCTGCATCAGAGCTCCCATTCGCCTTTTCCGCTTGAGTCGCCTACTGGCTTCCTCTCTTCACCAAACCAAACAACCACTCGTTCGACCTCGCCTGCTTCCCCCTCTGTGCTAGAAAATACTCGTCGGCTCCCTCCTTCCCATTCGACCTCGCCTCACCCGCTCTTCTCCCGCTCGCCTCACCCGCGCCTTCTCTGCGAACAGAAAGCTCACCTGCACTTCCCTCTCCCTTCCCTGTTCTCCGATTACTCGAAGTGTAAGAAGTACTCCAACATTTGTCTTCTTTTATTCACATATTTGCCACTGGTTTTCTCTGATTTATTTTTGGAATAACGTGGTTGAGATTTATTCTTCCTCTCTGGTTTCAAAACTCAAATGTGTTTAATTGCAAGTATTGTGTAAACGGTTTGAAAAGAAATTCCAGCGCCCTCATGTGATTCATTTCGCTGAAGCTTCAAATCTATGTCTTATGGCAAGGCTTGCCTACCTGCATGGCTTAATTATGTAAAACAAAGCCTATGAGTAGTTTTAACCATGTGACAGTTACCATTTTGACCATCTTACTGTGAAAAATCTAATATTAACAAAGCTTGAAGCTTCCATATGATCCGATACGAGGAACACATGCATTTACTTGTTTAGCACCTAAGCTCTATTTTATCTTTTACATCGGCAACAATTTTTTTTATCTAACACTATGAGCCGCATCTCTTTGCAGAGGTACATTTTTTTTTACTTACCCTTGGAAGGCTTTATCGATTTTTTTTTTTGGCATGTCATAAAGAATTGAATGCTATAAGCGTGTTAGACGAACAAATACATAAGAGTGGGTGGTATGCATGCAAGTACCCCATCAGCAACTTTCCTGAGAAACTCTAAACCATTCACACAAGATGTTATTTATGTTAGTAGAAATATTATGTTGATTTATTCATAAGGTCGTGGTAGCTGATTTTGTGAGCATGCTTAATGGATCTTAACGTTCTTCTGTTGCGTCTATTCACTATTATGGAGCCGTTAAATGTAGATTTTTGGGCCCTTTTGTTCACTTTTTTTAGAAGGCTTTGTGCACCACTTCAGTGATGATTTGTCTACTGTTTTGGAGCCCTAAAATGCAGATTTTTGAGCCCATTCATTCACTGTTTTTGGAAGACTTTGTACCCCATTTTAAGTACTAATTTGCTTAAGGTTTTGGAGCTTTTAAATGCAAGTTTTTTTTTTTTTGGTGCCAATCCGTTCACTATTTCTGAGGAGCTCTGTGAACCATTTAAGGATCCATTCGTTCACTGTTTTTGGAGAGCTTTGTGCACCATTTAAGTGTTAATTTTGCTAGGTCTTCGAGTCTCTAAAAGCACCTAGTTTGGAGATGTTTTAGGATTGGTTTCGCTGTATTTTTTACACTTAGTTGGAGAGGTTTTGTCACTATTTTGAAAAAAAATTAAGGGTATCTTTTTAAAGAGTTACATAATTGCGGTTTGGGGACTTTTAAATTGCTGTTTCGGGACTGCTTTGAGAATGTTTCCTTTGTTGTTTGGTGGTTTTAAAAAGACTGCAAAGTGCTAAAAAAATACTTGGAAAGCTGCTGCGAGAGCTGTGGGAGGGCTGTAGAGTGTTGTTTGGAACTTCGAAATTGATTTTTGGAGTCGTTGGAGGCCGTAGGGTGTTGTTGGAACTTCGAAATTGCTGTTTGGAATCATTGAGAACTGTAGAAGTGTTGATTGGAAGCTGATCTTTGATGTAATTGTATGTTTGGACGTTGCAAATCACTGTAGAAGTGTTGTTCGGGTTTTAGAATTGCTGCGAGAATTGTTTGGAAACTATCCTTTACAGTAATGGCTGATTGGAAGCTGATCTTTACTGTAAGTGGCTGTTTGGAACCTGTTAATCACTATAGAGGTGTCGTCCACAATTGTTTGGGTTCGTAGGGAGTTCGCCAGGTGCTGCCCACCACTGTTTGGGTTCGTAGGAAGCCATCTAAGTGCTGCCCACCGCTGTTTGGGTTCGTAGGAAGCCACCTAGGAGCTGTCCGCCACAATTTGGGTTTGTAGGAAACCATCTAGGTGCTGCTCACTGCTGTTTGGGTTCATACAAAGCCACATAGGCGCTGTCCACCACTATTTGGGTTCGTAGGAAGCCGCATGGGTGCTGCCAATTGCTGTTTTGGTTCATAGGAATCCATACAGGTGTTATTCAAAATTCCTAGTTGCTATCCGAAGTCGTAGGATCACCATACAAACTTGCTAGTTGCTTCCCGGAGCCATAGGAGGTCGTATGATCACTGTACTAGCTCGCTAGTTGCAGTCAGGAGTTGCAAGAAACCTTAGGATCACTTGTTTGGAGTACCTAGTTATTGCTACAACTTGTTTTACTGTTTACTGTTTTTTTTTTCTCTACAAATTATATTGTACTTTGTGAGTTAAACATGCAACAGAGATAACGGCAGCAGATACACCACGTATGCAGAAATATTTTATTTGTTGTTTATTCATTGAAATTACTTTTGCTCTAACACATTATGCAGGTACTAAATACAATTTTATTTTTAAAACAAAAAGATTTTTTTCAAAATTAAACAACATTTTCAAAAAAAAAAACATAACACGTTCATTCGAATTTACGGGAGTCCCTTGGAGGAGGTAACCCACAGTTGCTAACGAGATCTCTCTGGTTTAAATGAATTTCATAATTCGTTTAAGCTAAGTAAATTCAAAAAAAAATAGTGATACCATAATGAGGGAACCGTGAGATCCTAACCGGTGTCGCTCTAATCAACTTTAACATCCCTCATAACACTCAAATGATCATAACTTTAGAAAATATTTGATTTGACATCATGACTTGACACATTAGAAAACTTAAACCTGCTTCGACGGGGAGTTTAGAGCAACTTCGTGGGCAGCGCAGCAAGAAGCTTGGAGCAGACAACAAGTGGAGGTAGTCGCTATTCTACAACAGCAAAATAAGTCTTCATCAGCTAAACTCTCTCCTTAGTCTAAATAACAACCCATAGATCTTCGAGGTAATTCGCCCAATGCGACGTAAATCCTCACCCTCTTTTAGGCCCCTGCACAACCATGTTATGTTGCATAAGTCCTTATTCGCTTTTGGTTCCGAGGCCGTCGTCCAGAACGACGTAAAACCTCTTATCTCTGCGGGCTATTTGTATAACCAGTTATTATGCAAGTGAAAGTCCCAAATAATAAAATTGACAGGATTAAACATGCAAATAATATCCTCTCTAAAATATAGCCGCACAGTAGGATAGTTTGGGAAGTCACTGAGGTTCCTCCTCAGGATCTGTGATGTTTCTTACCTTTTAGTTCCTTTGGACTCCTGAAAAAATTATTCCTACTTGAGTCACTATCACTTGCTTTTCCACATCCTACCGTGAAAAAAACTTAAGCCTTGAATTCTTGAAGACTAGAACCACTGATCATTATCGAGAGTTTTCTCAAGTGACTCCCGTCATTTGAAAAGTCATTTAAGATGTAATTAACTATAGGGATTTGTCTTTATAGGGAACTTGAAACCCAGGAAAAATTTAAACTCTATCTAATCTTCCATATTAGACAGGGGAACTTGAAGTTTTCGTAGAACATATAAAAGGTTCGCAGACCAAATGGATGTCACAAATCTCTTAGTTTGCATGATTTGGTCTATTATCGGGATCTACACTTTTCTCTTGGAATGTGTAGTATTCAGGGTGTCAGACACAATTATGCAAATTATTGGACTAATGAAATCCATTCGGTCTCATTTTTAAAAAAATTAAAACACTACGTTCATAAACTAAACTATATACCTTATATTTAAATTAAATTTTAAAATAAAAAAGTTGACCGACAGATACTTATATTTACTAAACTTTATTATCACAATCAAATCAAAGAATATGCACCAAAAGGCATATTCTACTGTAAAAAAGTTAGAAATGTTAATATTTTTTTGTTTTTTATGTGTGGTCACATATCTGACTGCTATGCATGCAAATATCAATGTTTAGGCGATAGATATGTAAACAGATCAGAATTAAACTTTCAGAATCTAGCTTAGAGATCAAACCAGATTTGGTGTACCTGATTGCTTGAGCTACCGCACCAAGGTAGCCCTTGAAATATCTAACTCTCTTCTCATCATTGAGAAAATCGTTGAGCGTTGCTGATTCGTTTTCTTCATCGTCCATGCCTGCAGGTCAGTCCACGGGCATTTTCAGAGTAAGAAACACCTTCAGTGAATCATGTAAAGCACAAAGATTATAAATTATTACCATTCTCAGTTACATAGATTGGGAAATTTTTATATTTCCGCGCGATGTAGTTAAGGACTTTCCTTAAGCCCCAAGGAACAATATAAAGCCACTCTGATGCAGCCTGAAGTTAAAGAACTTGAGTCAAACTCATAAAAGAAGTTTGGCAAAGCACAAATGATAATCTTTCTTCACAGTACATGGAGGCATCAACTCAGGGAATTCTTTCCAAAAAAATAAAGGCAAGAACGAGAGACACAGAGATAAGAGATCTTACTCTTTCACCAATTAGCTCCCCACCTTGCCATTTAACTAAATATAAGAATTATAAAGTTTGATTAGAACCTGCACAGCTCAGTGCCGCGGAAATAGAGAGTTGAAGGTTATTACCGCCACATTCTGAACATCAAACCCACCAAAATAAATTCAACAAGGCAACAAACCTCAGATTGCGGAGGTAGTTTTTGATAATTTTAATAAATTTGGTTGGAGAATCTTCGTCAATCAAAATCTTGCATGTTATTTATGAATGGAATAAGATACAGTGCAATACCAGGCAAACACAAAAGGGAAAAACAGGGAAGAGACAAGCAGAATATAATTCTGTTATGATTTCAGTAAAAAAGGATGCTCAACATCATCGTCCACTACCCTTTAATAGCTCTCCAAATACACTGATATCCGTAGCTAATTATTAGTATTAACTATTAATACTAAATTGTAGTATTTAAAGTAAACTTATTAAAGTAATAAGAATATAAAAGACAAGAAACTAAAAGTATATTCAGCCAGATTGGTAGAGATTTAATGCATTTTATTTCTGAAATTTATAATAAGATCCAAGTATTTTGGCTTATTAGAGATGCTAAATATATATCAACGACTCATAAAGAAGTGGAGTTTAATGAAATGGTTACCTATCCTCTCCATTTCCTGGGCTTCGTAAAAAGGACTCTCTGAATTATCAGATGAATGAGCAATTAGTTTTGTTGTGTAATGATTGAGTCCTATAAAATCAATTGCATTTTGCAGCAATTCTTTGTCTTTTTGAGTAAACTGTGGAAGGTGATCTCCGAGCCTTTCCCGCATAACTGCAGGGTAGTCTCCATAAAAAATCGGATCCAGAAACCTTGCAAAAACATAACATAATGATTTTCTAGCATAATGGCTCTAGAGTAATGTAGACATACATATAAATCATCTCCAAAATGGCAACGTAGAAAAAGTACGTAAATTTTCAAAATTTCGTTTGTGAAAAAAGATACTTTAATATTTAGAGAAAACATATCTGTGTCATTAATAATCAGAATCAATGAATACTTGTAAGTCAAAAATAACAAGGCCTATCTCAGAAGCACAGATGTCTTATTGGAGTTAGCAAATTCACCTCACGCTAAACATAGCTGAAATTAAAAATACAAATTTTGTCATCAGAAGTATAAGAAAATACTAAATTGTACAATTGAATTGAGAACGATTATGGTTTAAATCAAGAAAAACAAAGAAAACGAAGGTTGAACTCGAGAATTCTAATTTTTTTTAAGAAATTAAGTAAAAACACTAAGTTTTTTCGAAGTGTTGATCCTAATCAAATCATTGGGTTAACCTAAGAAAGAGTTCAGCCTAAATTCTAACCAAACACATCTTTAAGCAGCAAAAATTGGTTTGTCACTGGAGATGCACCGCATGGCCAGCTAGAAGGGGACATGTTGCCCAAGGAGATAAAAAATCAAAAAGGGGAGAGCCTTCAGCCCGAGATATTTCCTAAACTAGGGTGAGAAACTGAGAGGTCAGTTGTCAGTTCCAAAAGATTGGATCATTGAGCTGCAGTGAAAGTACCTTTGTAGATAAAAAACACATACAAAGACAACGAATTTATGGCATTTGACTTTATAGCATACATCCATGTTGCTGTGAAGTGGATTAGTACCCCAAGAAAGGAAAAATATACATGGTGTTGGAAGATGGAACCGATGCTGTGGTGCGCAGGATAAGATGAGAAAGAATGAAGGCTTTAACAATGGCTCCTTATAATAGACAATCAGAGTTTAACCTCTTCACCATAAAAGCTCCTCACCCACAATCTATTCTAGCAACATGTGAACCCTTTCAACCTTGTCATGACTAGCAGTTATGTACAAAAGACATGAGAAGTTTCCCAGTGAATGTAAATCAATATGTGCTTTGAACATGCTCTGACTAGATAATTAGCAAACAATGTGGTAATACAGGCCTAATGGAAAGTTCACAAGGGAGTGGACTCAAAGCCGGTTGGCAAGGCTTGTTTGCAAAGAGTTGAAAGTTGGTTGAGCATAGAATGACCATCTAACTCAAAATGGTGGACAATAAGTTCAAGTGGGTCGTTAAGAAGCGATTCAATAAGATCAACCCGATGAGACAGAATAAAGGCGAGATGTTTATATCGTTAGCCATAAAAAATAAGAGTTGGTCTACAAAAAATTTGAAAATGGAATCGAAGAGTTCGACCATAAGATCATGTATTGATCTGAATGACGAGACACCAGCAAAAAACTATAGATGTTGGCTGGGGTAGTCAAGCTTCAACATAGGGTAACCACTAGAATCTGCTTAGTTAGACTATTGGAATGAGAGAACCAATCAACAAGCGACCAACCATAAAAATTATTGTAGAAACTGACTGGATATCGTTAAAGGGAGAAATTGATAGAAGTTGCCAAAGAAAATCACAACCTAGAGATTTAACGTCCCCAATAGCCTTTACAAATCATAGCTGCTGGAAGATAAGCATATGCAATGACTGGAAGGTGCAGATGAAGAAGCTATCTGGGTTAGGAGTGATGGGCCTAAACATATTTCTATAACCCAGGAGACGAGTTTTAATCGGAGACTAATGGGGGGCCTTTAAAGTCCAGGACTTTGGCTTGGGGACTGTGCACACAACTTGGTAGATGATGGTTGAAAGGTAATTTGGACAAATGATCATGATTTGTCATAAGAGTCGTTCTTAAAATAAATTACCAATTTGGTCAAGTCAACCCGGACAATAATTGATTAAGGGCAGTTTCTCTTGATGGCTCTGATGTCAACAACTGAGAGATCCTAATTAGGTGAAAACTTTTGGACGTTATACTTTCTAGAGTTTTAAATGATGATCAAACAAAGTTCTAAGCATCTGCAATTCATTGGCTTCTACTAAGATTGAAAGAAGTAAGAAAAACAATGCATTGTTATCTTTGACGAGAAAGTAAGTCGAAGACAGAGACATAAAAGATGTTGATTTTGATGGCATTCAAATAAAGGGCCCTGTGACACCATTAAGATGGCATTACAAAGTATAAGCAAGCTTCCGGTGGTCCTTTCACTTATGACCTAACTCAACATGTGCTGAAGCCTCAAGTGAAGGAAGGAGGCCTTTGGTTAATCAGCCTGAACTATTGGTTCTAGATCCTGAAAATCCAACATTTTGTTTTGAAAATGAGTCACAAAGTTTTGTAGTGACTTCTCTAGTTCTTGTCATACATTCACAAGAGTTTGTGAATTCTACACTGTATTTTACATGCTAGGTAATTCGGTTATGAACTGTCGCTTGAAGTTGGAGTATGAGGAAAACAATCACCAGAGGAAGACATGAAAATCATTGTAGTAGTGAAAATTTAAAGGTGATAAAAAGTAGTCAACATTTAAGTGAATTACAAATGCTGAGAAGAAAAGTCACCAACTCAATCAATTGGATCCAATTTCCATTTGTAAGAATCAAGATGAGACAAAGCCTTCATGATTTTCAAAAAAAAGCATTGGTGAGCTGTGGTCGATACTTCACAGAGCAATGAAGAGGTGTTTTAAATGTATTCAGGAGATAGGTTATCATTAGCATGAGTAGAGAGGATGATCTTAAGGTTGGGTTGGTGATGTTTCGTAAGAGTATGTAGAACCATGCTCTCCATGAGATGCCTAGAAATTTAAGTAATCATATTAAAAATTAATCTCTTACATTGAGGTGTTCTATGATTAAAGCCTTGAAGAGATAAAGAGGAAAGAGAAAGAAATTGAAAGATTCTCTGGAAATCTTGTTAAATTTCAGTGTCAAAGTACAAAAAGTGATATGGTATGACTGTATGACAAGTTCATCCTTTGACCCGTATTTATAGTTCAGGTCACGATTCAATGACACATACATCATAGCTAGGCAACATTATTCTTAGCCTACACAAGGAAAAAATAGTAAATAAATCGATGACAAAAGGTCACCTAATTCAACTTGGATTACTTGGGTTGCATATTGTTTTCTTGGAAATTAAATTTAAAAATATTAACACAAAAAACTAATTGCCTGTAAAAAGAGCTTTTTTACAGACAAAGATAATTACCTGCATTCTTTTATTATGTTATATAGAGCCTGCATTTGGCATCAAGTCCAACTGTTATTCAAACCCAAATAACATACAAGTTTCTAGTGGTAAGCCAATCAGCGAATATGAAAAGATTCCACCATAGAATTGGCATCCACAATTCCATGAGGCAAACAAAATATTCGGCAGGAACCAAGAAAGATTATATGTATAGAATTAAGGAAATGAGACGTACCACCCAAGCTGAAAATCCAGCCTCCTTTCTACAGAAACCTTATCCTGCTCTTTATCAGAGAAAGCCTCTGCCCACTCACAGTCAACTACCAAGCCAATTTCACCACCTTGCGTAGCCTAATTGAAGAGGTAGAATTATCTTTTAGCTTATTTACTTCGATATATAAATTGTAGTACAGAAATGACGACGAAGACTATCATATCCAATAATATAATTTGTCAGAAAGGTAAAGCTAATTCTTCATCGATTGAGTTTTCAAAGAAAAATTTACTACGTAAGCACATGTCAGAAAATATACGTTTAAAGGACGAAGTTCCATTTTCATGTGAATAGAGGCAAAATTAAAACCATTGCAAGGTATCAACGACCTCAACGTTCTTAGTTATAGAAAAAAAATGAAAATATAAATAAGAATTCTCATCATGCAGGTCTATGATTATGATTTGAACTTTCAAAGTATCAAATCTCTGTTTGATACAGAATTTCAAGTTCTTTATTTCAGAAGGGGCAGAAATCAGAAAAAAATCTAGAGGCACTCTCATATTTTCAATAGGCTTCCTCGACAACACAAAAGAAATATTTGTATCTTTTTAAAATGTTGTATTTTTTTTTTTTTCTTTGGCATTTCTTGGTAAATGCTTTTGATGTACTATTTTCTTTAACAAGTGAATAAAATTTGCTTTAAAAAATATCCCATTGAAACACCATATCAAAACAAATCTTAATTAGCTATAGTATACCTTAAACTTCTTCCTATAGACATCAACGGCAGCTGCATGGGCCAATATCTGGTAATGAGCCGCTAAATATGGCTCTTTGTACGGACTATCACGCCTTCCAGGAGCAAATATACCAATAGAATAGCCATTAACAGCTGTTTGAAGAGGTTCATTAATTGTCATCCAATGCTTAACTCTGTCACCAAACCTCGCAAAACAAACTTCTGCATATAATGCAAAATACTCACTGGCTATTCAGCCAGATAAGCAAGTTAGAATGAAGAACATAATCATCGAAGTTAAATGAATTGTATTAAAGAAGTCTAAACTTCGCAACTACCTCCAACTTTATAAAGTTCATACTGTAGCATTTTCCATAAATCACATCCAGCTATTGTATCTTGCAGAGGTTGCAATTTTTAATCGGATGACTGTGGATATTTTATGAAATTTTTACAATTGTACTGGCTATACTTCTTGTATTTTCGGTTTAAAAAATAATTAAAATAGAATGTTTTGAATAACATTGCTTGATTTATTTTGTTGTTCAGGCACCAAAAAAAAAAAAAGCAAATTTGCACAATTTACATTTGTGGGAAAACAATGCAAAACTCAAGCTTTAGAGTCGTCATCAGAAATGCAAGCGCTTGTGATGCATCATTTTTTTTTTTCTCAAACGAAGTTAGATGAAGTCTGTCCTAGAAGAAAACAGTAAAAAAAGCTCGTAAAAATGACCATGTTATAAAAAATAATCAAAATATACCTCACAACAATCAAAATAGTAAGATACAGTTCATGCATTAGATATTAGGATAGAATAACCATAAAATAAGAGTAAACAGACGGGTCTCTATTTGGTTTCTAGAGTTGATATTAAAGTATGTATGTTGAGAATCGGATCTTATTTAGGGTCCTATTAGTAAAAAGGGGATATTGAAGAAGTCTAAAGGTTTATTTGTAAAATATTGCAATACCCTATTTAAGCCCTTGTTATGAATGTATAGGTTACATTTTCAGAACAATTTTTAAATTTGGAATCAGAGCCCTAGTCGCTGGCTACTCGATAGTCCAATCTGGATCAACGTTTGAGTAACACAAAACTCCCAATTTTCTCTTCCTTCGGCATCCTCCTAGCGAAGTAGTGGCAAACTGCTCTATCCAATCGGGACCGGTGGGATCGACGTACAAAGACCTGAATCGGCGTAAAGAAACCCAAAACTCCCAATTTTTCACTAAGCAATCGCGTTTAGAGCTACTCCGGGGAGGTGATACGGGGCAAATTTAGGTATTTTTCTAACATTAAAAAAGGGAATATTGTTCATGCAAATTACAAGTCTTAAGACACTTGGAAAAAGAAAAAGAAATGAATTTGGAGCAAGAAGAACGAAAAACGAGACTACACACAAGCAACCCACCGATTGCGTGAACGCGCACGCACGTCCACACTCTATGTACAGGCACTTGCATGCCACTGCTTTGCACGTGCATGCCACATGCGCGCACTTGCGTGCAACCACGGTGCACGCCCCCGCACATGCAACCACTTGCCAAATCCAGCCTGTTGTTTCCAAATCCAGTCTCGTGCGCGCCTAAAGCCAGAACTGCCAAAACTAGCCAGCCACTTGCCAAAACACGCTAAGCACACGCACGCGCACGCTCGTGAGCACATCCGCTTCCAACAACCCTCCAAAACTCAAAATTTTTAGATTTTGACCAATTTGTTGAAATTTAATGCATATTTGGGACCACTAAAGCATGAAATAAGTAAAAAATAATATTTTGGTGATTATGACAGCACTTTTTGCCTAGTGGGTTGTGCCTCCAAGGTTAGTGAAAGTCATTTGTAGCTTTTTGAAGATTTCTTCTATGGCTTCACTCGAAAGAGTATGCTTTTGTTATTTTGCCTTTTTCATGATTATTTGAGAACTTCTATGATATTGTAAAGTGATATTGAGGGCAATTTGTATGAGAGAGATCCATGAATGTTTGTATTAATCGAAAAGAATACTGTTGTATTATAAGGGATTGCTTGGTTCGTTGTTAAGTTTTTTTGTGAACCTTACATCCTCTATCTTTTTAATTCTTGCAATTACAAAGTTTATGTTTCTTCTAATTATGCATTTTAACTAATTTTATTTCATATTCCTGTGATATAAGTCTTGTGGATTTTTTTATAATTTTCAGGCTATGAATCTTGTGTTCCCTCGATACCCTTTTTGAGCATGCATGTTTCATGTTGATGTGTTAACCTCCGATCTTCATTCACTTTTTATCGGACGCAATAGTAAAGTTAAAATCTTTCATGAAGCTACGACTTCAAACCGTTGCGTAGTAGAAACAAGAGTTAACCACTGAATGAATGCCGAGAGAATATACATATTCCAGTGAGATTTTGCAACTTTTGCAGGGGATTAGAATACTTTTGCAGAAAACATGAAGAGTGATGAAGCCCCAACTCCATGAATTCTAGCTTTCTTTTGACCTAGACATACGCATAAGAAGAACTTTCTATCCCTGGTCGTCAACTATAACGTAGGACCCATAGAAAAACTATAATAAACCATCTGAAATATATCACAGGAATATGAAATTTGCATATTTGAAAAGTTCAACAGTTTTTTTCCAGCTATTCCTGTTTACTGCTTTCTTTTAGGACTGTTAGATTCATCTGTTGATTTTGAACATTTCAAACCGGACTTAGCAGTTCAGTAAACTAGAACGTTGTCTATTAGAGATAATTTGGCACACTATACTCATGGGATCGATATGCGGTACTCTTTAACTGCATTATCACTTGACATATTTGTTTCTATCGTGTTGCACCGGGTTTTGACAATGTTGATTGCTAACTTATTGCCGCACCATAACTTCATTTTAGTACCTTGGTCCACCTTGAACTCGACCAACAAGGCTCTCAGTCACATCATCTCTGTAACTCCTAAGGCCATGACCATGTACTTTGCCTCTTCGTCAACCTCACTACTACAAAGTATCCCGCACCTATAAAAAGAGGTAGAAGGCGATGAAGACATGTAAAGATGAAAGATTTACACGATTCAACTTTATAACCTATGTTCATATTATAATAAGGGGAATAATCCATCATAAATAGAAAATATATAAGTGCAAGAAAGGTATAACTCGCTAAACAATAAAGGAGAGGAAAGAAACTAAATACTTATTCAAATGAGTTCAGTCTTAGGCTCCGTTTGACGCAGCTGCAACTTCTCAGCTTTTCAGCTGTAGCTGCGCTGCCCCATGAAGCTGCTGCAGGGAAGCTGACTGTCTGTTTGGTGCAGCTGTGTGAAAACAACTTTGGGGCAGCTGTTTCTTGCAAAATGACCAAGCTGGCCCAGTTTGGTAAAACTGTTGAAAACAAAACTGTAAGAGCGACATCTTTGATACTTCTGATGCTAAATTTCAATTTGAAATAATTTAAAAATTTAGAAGCCCAACTAAGTTAATGTACTAAGTTAATGGTGAGTACGGATAGTGATAAAGGAAGAGGAAAAAATCACAATTCATGAAAATCATTACCAAAATTTCGTAAGAAGTAGCATTTAGATGAAGTAACCCACAGTTTGGAACTCTCAATATCAAATATGACAGTGAAATTCTATGGAGGTATCCCTAAGCCTATTACACTAAAGTACTAAGCTCTATACATGCGCGACGCCATTGCAACACTTCTGATGGTTCTTCTGCGTCAGAAAAATAGAAGACAGAGTAATGGGAGAGAGAATGACCGACCAATATTCCGATTTCTCATTTTGCAATAAACCTGGAGCATTCATCTGGCAGAGACGGGTTGCATGCGAGCTGTGAGCCTTCACTGCCTCGACTTGTAGAAGCATGACTTGAGAACAAGCGCGCACGCCTGAGTAGCCATTAAGCACAGCTCCTCACAGAAACAGAACAAATGAAGAATCAAATCGGACCATAAACAAGAAGAGCAGGCTTCAAAACATACGAGTCGTGAGGGATAGTGGAGCGAAAGGGAGGGAGGAGCACGAGCGATTCGGCATCGAACAATAGTGACAAAAGGTATGCCGCGTAATAATTCATCGCTCGAAGCGGGCCGCGGGGTTTGATCTGCGGCCCGCGTTCTGCCAAAATGGCTTCCCACGGCGTCCCACCGCGCGGGAGACGACGAACCAAACGGGCGAGATTCGCGGCTGCTCACCGCGCCGCGCAAAAACCATCGCGCCAAACGGACCCTTAATGTGGAAGAGCCCTAAACAATCATAGGCAATGAGCTTTTATAGGGAGGAGATTGATGCTACTCTAAAGTGTCATCATAATCACCTAAGAGAAACATGGAAGATTCGGACTATTATAATGGCATGCAAAATACGGTCCACTTGATCTAGCGATGCAGACGATTTAGTACAAAGGACATATGTGTTTCTATTAATATTAGGAGAAATGTGCTCTGATTGAGTCACTAATAGCTGACATGGTGTCATGGTGCAAGATAAAAATGTCACCAACCCTCAGCAAAACAGAGATGTTGGCAACCTGCCTAATGCCAATCAGCATTAATTTCTCACTAAGTCTTGTCAATTGAGGAGCCAATGATCGAATAAGCAACAGCTTATGGTAAACCTAAAGTCGTTTGACAATGGCAAGAGGGAGATGTCGGGTTTGGAACAAAAGATTTTTGGAAACAACAATCTAAAGTTAAGACAATATAAGGTTGGTTGCCAGTGCAAGGGCTAGTCAACGATGATGCTTAAGCAATCAATGAGGAAGTTGATAAGGGTTGTCTTTGGATGTCGAACAACAGAATAGCAAGCTGGATAGAATGCTGGGATGCTATCAAGAAAACATAAATGATAGAGAGGTAGGCCAATATGGTGCCAAAGGAGCCATAGCATAAGATGTCAGTTGAGACCTGAGAAAACCAAGTATCATGCTATGCAATAGAAACTGATTGGATGTAGTTGGATGATGACATTTACAAGAGTTGTTAGAAGGAAAAGCAATTGGTTAGAAAAGCCAAAGATCTGAAAAAATTTATCGAATCTAAACAACCTGGAAAAAACTGTAAAAAACAAGTCATTGACTGAATAACTTGCGAGGTCCAATCATAATAGGCTAATTTGATAGATGTAGTAGTTCTAGGTGCTGAGACTATTGGCGAGAGAGGCAACAACTGATGACTTGAAACAACAATCAAAATCTATAATTCTAAATAAAAGACCTTTAAAGTCACGCCTGCATTCACTGAAGTTGTTGAACCAAGTAGTTGAGTCCAATCAAACTAGGGTGGCACTGTGCGATGACGCCATTGGAGACATTCATATCAATGATTCCCCACCAAATGTACAATCCTGACTGGGCACAAAAAACCAAGTGCTACAACCACCAACCCTCACACATACTTGTCACGTGTTCACTCTGTTGGAATCACATCCTGTCAAGTTCAACCATGTTTTCATGCTTCCTCAATGTATCAAAGAGCATTAGTAAATCACACAACCTTCCTTCTAGTTGCTATGCCTACAACCCATCATCAAACCAAATACCTTACAAATCCACTAAGATAGAGAGATTCTTTTCCTACAAAGAGTAACAACAAGAGAGCAGTCTCATTGCCTTCAAGGAGCCTGTTATGCCGATGTCTAGTCTAAGGACAATTTAGTCTTTTATTATTTATCATTGTTTAGTATAAATAGATCTTAATATGTTTGGGGTTGGGGATGCATGAGATTATGTCTTTGAAAATTAGGGTTAGGATTTGGGAGAGATTTCCTGCCCATCGAATTATAGGATTTGGGAGAGATCGCCGACCACTCAAATTGTAGATGCTTATCTTTATATCCATGTTGTTTTATATTTCCAACAAAAAGAGAAATTTACTTTGCCCTAATTTTTGTGAAAAAATATGCAGATTTTTGCATCGGAATGTATCAAATTATTTGGCATTTTCTCGTCCTTTAACAAATCTAGAGACGTGCCCATTCAATGATAATTTTTATCCATTGCTGACCACAATTCAAATTCAGAAGGGTAAACATTACCTCCCTCATTTCGTGATCTCTATTCCAATATTTAATACTCCACTTGACATTGATATCCTAGTCACCCATGAAAACATTCATTCATGTAGCTTTAACCACATGATCGCCTCAGCTCGTTCCTAAAGAATAGCAGTTCCTCCATTGCATATGCTTTGCATCAGGTAAAAATAATTAATCAGCTAGAGTAAGCATCAAAACTAAAAATCAATCATTTTCAAATTTGGCTAAAACTTAGCTTGATTCAAAATAAAAATATAGAAGTCAAATTACAAGAATTGAACTTGATAATACCCTTAGCCATAAACTCCGAAGTTCGCATCATCAATTGAGGTAACTAACTAACACAATTGTTCTCGCCCTCTCTCCTCTCCGCCTCTATAGCACTAATTCTCAGTTATTATTACTATTATATATATGTTCCCTCCTGCCCTCCCTATACAGCTTCCATCTCAATCTCAACTTGAAAAAGATGTATGAAAAAACTTAGATATATAATTGAAACTAAAAAACCTAACCAACTTAAAATGTTTAATATGCATAGCTTACACTACTTTCTCCGACAACCATCCCCCCTCAGATACATGAAGGTTGTATGGAAGATCCCAGTGATATAATGTAACGTAAGGCTGAATACCTGCAATTGGACATATACATGTGACCGTTAATGGATAAAAGTTTATTTACAATAGACATAATTACTAACCATTCTTTAATAAATAATCTATGAGGTGATTGTAGTAGGCAATTCCTTTCTCGTTGACTTTATTGCCAAGTCCATCTACAAGAGTATGAAAAATCATATAAATAGAATTAATAGTCATAGTTCACAAAAGTTAAAAATAGGTCTTATTATGAATGGACAAGTTAATAGGTAGTGAAATTGCTCCAATGATGGTCTCAATATCATGAAATTCTAGCTTCATAGACTGATCAGATGCCTGTGGACACACAACTTCACCATTTTTAAGTTCATGGTGAGTCGGCTATTAATACTGCATATATCAACGTATGTAATTTGGAAAACAAGAGGCTAAATTTTTTTCTTTAGGTGGAGCAATTTTCACGCTTGACATGCATGCATGAATGCTTAGCATGTATATATGTATGCATCCATTTAGGCATGACATGCATGATTGTATGGCATCCAATCCAAGACAGTTCAACTACAGAAGACGAATAATACAAATCCCCAGCAGAGCTATAAAGCATGGCATTTCACCTGATACTAAATCAAACATATTATTTCATTGACCATATCCAATTTTCCAGAGTAAAATATATCAAGAAACAAAACCAAGATTTTGCCTTCTGTATGATGCAAACAAAACTAAGAAAAGCTCCATTGATGTCTGAAAACAGATGATATAACTATTCACTTGATGTATAATACTGAATACTATTAAGTAGTATACATCAAGGACAATCAAAAATGATTTCTGAATCTATTTTTATAGTATAAAAGAAGACTTAATAAAATAACAATACACATACCAGAGAAATTCAAATATTTAGTATGAATTGCAACAAACAAATATGCAAGAGCATGTACAACAAAATTTAAATTTTGTATAAACAATCAGAAAAATGATGGAATACCTGGGAAAATACGAGACCAAGAAATAGAAAATCGATAAGCTTCAAACCCCAACTTGGCTATAAGTTCTACATCTTCCTGTTTTTGATGCAGCAGAAGTTCAAAATTATTATCACAATAACAACAAATGAAAATGTTCCTTAGATGAAAAGAATGTAGAAACTAGTCAAACTACATCAAGGAATTGCCTACAGTAGAGCAAGGCAGAGAAACAAACTGCAACATGCAATGATGAAAATTGCAATTTTTGCTTCTATATGCATTCCATGGCTTCATGATAAAAAAGAAACACTTCCAAACCAAGCCATTAATCTCTTGAAAGTAGCAATGTCTTTTTTTACATTGACTTTAACAAAACATAGTTACATTACAGAAGAAGTGCTTGAGTTCCTTAACACTGAGAAACATTCATCAATGAAGTATAATTATGGAGCGCTTAGTTCACATCCAAGAGCCATGAATGAACTACTAAATTAAATGGCTAAGCAGACGTGGGTGCATCCTTGCATAATTTGGATATAATCCAGCATTATAGTCAACAACTTATCCCCACATCCAAGCTAGATGCACCTTGTATCGATCATTTTCAGGATAGTTCAATGAATTTGGGAACTTTGCCCACGTAACCAACAGCATATTAGCATGCATTGGAGTGAAGCTATATCCACTACAAGCTTGGCAAGCATATTATAAGTTACATGCAACTATCAGGATTCGCATGACAAATAACTAAAGAGAGAAATGGTTCTCTTTCCTTTTTTTTTTTTTTTTTTTGCATGTTTAAATTGTTCAACTTCTTCAGTACAGCTCTCCAAATCTACAGCTTTTGTGCTTAAAACATGACGAACTGAATTTTTGTTGTAAGGTACTACCTTTAAACCAAACAAGGATATAGCTCATCACCATGTTTCTTGCAACCGCACATATAATTTTCCTAACCATATACATGTATGCATTAATTATTTCTTTTGATGGATAGTTAATGTTAATAATTAATGTAGAGAGGTGGTGTGCTTAGCTTGGCTTAACAATTTCATGTACAAAGCAGAAGTATTTTGACAAGAAAAATCAATTTCTTTGTAGCCACGAAAGCAATAAATGAATTTTGAGATGACTCTACATTGATTTAGAATTGAAAAAGTTGATGAATTTCAAGTGGATTCAGTTTGACTCAAAGGTTGAATCAATATTACTCGAAATAAAATTTAAGTTTGAGCCAAGTAGCAATAAAAAATTTCAATTCCACGTTTAAGCAAACTCACACAAACTCGTTTCAATATCAACCATAAATGGATCCTTAAACATTGACTAAAACAAGAATTTATTTGTCAATACATGCCTTGCCACAGTAGTACTGAACCCTCAGAGTTAAAATCTTATAAAAAGGATTAAAACATTACAAGAAAAGAAAAGTTAATAACCTTGTAACGATGGTATTGATCAACGGAAATGTCTGCATTACTTCCATCTTTGATATATCCTAGATAAATGACATTGATACGTAACTGAAACTTGTGGAAGGTGGGCTAATGTAACTGGAAAGAGGAAAGATAAAAAGTGAGAAAACCAACCATTTATTTTTGTGAAAACGTCCCATATATTATCTCCTTTGCCATCTTCATTAGTTGCTCCTTCAACCTAAAAATAAATAACTTCCATAAGAGTTAGATGACAGTTATGAACCAAAGATGGAGAATAAGCAGCAAGTCTATTTTAAGAAAAGCATATACCAGTATTCTTCGAGTCTAGCAAGAAACTGAAAACTAAACTGCAGGAAACAGATGCTTACGACTGGATAAATAACTCCTGTTCCGCAAGAATCATGCACATGTGAAGCCGTAGAATTTAAAAAAGTATTAAAGACAATCAAGAAACCATTTAGGGTAGCATAAACAACTATATTGAATTGTGTACATCAACTTAAAAGAAGCAAAATACAATGCATGAGTTTCTCTAAAAGGCAGGGAATCTAATTCCAAGATTATAATAGAAAGAATGTAACCATCACAGGCCTACCATCTAACATCAATAATAAGCTCAATATTATAACTGTGCTTTTTCAATATATGCATGGGATTTTGTCTTCTCTTTTATTTTTCTTAAACCCCACAAGAAAGATTTACCGACTCTGATTTTCACTGCAACCAGGCCCATGGGAAATTATTTCTGATTTGGATGGCCAATACCAACCAAATCAATCTCACGAAAAGGGATATTCAAAACTTGATCCGTAAGTTGCCCAATAGATGCAATTTCGCTGCAGCATATGCCATCCTCTCTCTTTTCTCGTGATCACACCCACATTCTAAGACATTCTTGCTCCATCATCCCCAATTCCCCATCCATTCCCACTCTTCTTTCCTCGTTTTCACGATCCCATGAGCCAATTCAAGTGAAGCGATTGCAGTAAACATTCATTCGAGTCCTCAAATGGTAGATGAATGCGATTTCAACAGATCGACGAAAGGAAATGCCTAAAAGAGTGAGGGATCGCAAAAAACCTGATAAGCTGAAGTGGCGACGCCGAAGACGAAGCCGGCGGGGAAATCGCTCCGGCAAACCTCGCCGGCGTCGGAGTTTGGGGCAGCCATCGATCGAGTGATCGAGTTCGAGAACGAAGCGATCGGGCTAGAATGCAGGTGCTGTTCTGCGCTCGAGTGTGCTGACAGTTGGAGAGTTCGAAGAAGCTTTGGGGGTATAACCGTAATGATAATAGTTTTCTGTTTTTGTAATTTTTCATTTGTTGATTGTTTGCTTCAGGGAGTCAGTAAGTTTGGAGTAAGAAATATGGTTATTAGAGGCCGTTTGCGTTTCAGAATAAGTTATTTATATTTAATTTCTAAATTTTTTTTTTTTTTTACATTTATACCATCCAAATATCCATATCACTCCAAAAATTCCCTAATTTCTATTTAAAAAATAAATATTTTTAATGCATGTGAAAATTAGAGGTTAGATGTTAGGTAAGTATGTAAATCTTCCAAATAAAATAATGAATATAGAGGGGGGCAAATTTGCAAAAATACAAATCAATTTTTAAGTATTTATAAATCTAATAACTACTTTTTTATATTTATATTTATCAGCCTCAAATATTTAAATACATAAAAAATATTATTATAATAAAATTTTTAAAATAAAATATATATTTCATGCATAATTTCATGATAACAGTATGATAAATATAAATATTAAATTTTAAATGTTAGAAATGTAAAAATATAATACAGATATAAATTTAAATGTTAAAACAACTAGCTAATAAATTACGTGATATATTCATACATATATATATATATATATATGAATAGTATTTTTAAAAAAAATTAATTGAATACAAGGCTAAGATTTATAATTAATTAAAAGTATCAAAAAATTCTGATTAAAAAGCTTCATAAGAGTTGCATGGCTAGGGGTGTAAACGAGCCGAACAAGAGCGAGCCCAAGCTCAGCTCGTGTTCGACACGTTTATATTTTGAGCTGAAAAAGTGTGTTTTTTTAAAAATATTACTCATAAAATATATATATATATATAATTGATTAGTAATATTTCATGCCAAAACGAGCTAAACGCGAACTAAAAAATATTACCAAATAAATATTTGTTCGTGTACGGCTCGTTAACTTAGCAAACGAGCCGAACATGAGCTTCTTAACGAGCCGAACATGAGCTATTCACGAACAACGAGCCGTTTTGACAGCCTTTTGCATGACTATTCATATAACAATATAATCTGTAAAAACTAAAATAATTTAAAGAAAAATTACAAATTTGATCTTTATTGTATGTAGATTATAATATATTTTTGAGGTATTTACATACATGGCACCTCTATCTATTTACAATTCTAACACCTAAACTTTAATTTTTACATTTATACCACCTAAATTTTTCATGTAACATTAAAACATCACTATTTTAGTAATAAAAAAGTGAAATACAACGCCTGTGGATAAGATGGCACATGTGCAAACATTGAAATTTACGATAAAATATTTCTGATTTTTAAAAAAAATATCTCAAGTCATATGTTTAATTTTCAATAAATTTAACAAAAACTTCTTTAATACGTAAGATATGTAAATATATAAGATTCACATACATACCAAATATTTACATAATTCTTATGTATTGACATATCTTTTACATATGACACCTTACATATGCATGAAAATGTGTAGGACACTTTTTAAAATTTAAAATAGTTGTATTTCTGATGTGATTTGAAAATTTTGGGTGGTATAAATGTAAATAATAGTTTGGGTGTTAGATATGGAAATACATAGGAATTTGGTGGTATGCATGTAAATGCCCATGCTTTTCAATAACTTACATGTATTACATATAGATGCGATGAGATTCAGAATATAAATAGAGAAAAATAACTCATTCATGTAAATTACAAGTTCTCTCAGAAAACAGCCAGCCAAATAATTCAATTAAAATCATGACATTTAATGCATGAAAGAAGAGATAATTTCGTCAAATATTTGAATCTAATCATAATTAAGCTCTAACCATAATTAAGCCTGAGAAAGCTGCTGCTACAGAAATTTTATGGCCAACCCCAAGCATTTGAACCTGCAGAATATTGTAGAAAGCAAATGAAACGTCCAAAGGAATTAGAAGTGCATAAAATAGTTGGTATCAGCAAGCAATTGGGAATTGGTATATCTGTTATGATAATATACATATATACTACCGGAAAACCAAACTTTATATATGTCACCTTATCCATGCATGAAAAGGAGTAGTTCGTTTTTTAAAACTTAAAATAGTGGCATTTTTTATGTGATAAGAATAGGAGTGTAAACGAGCCGAACACGAGCGAGCTCAGACTCCGCTGTGTTCGGCTCGTTTATATTTCGAGCCAAACATGAGCTGTTCACGAACAAAAAGTCGTTTCGACAACCCTAATCACGTAGCCATAAGATGTTATGGGTTGGGGCAAAATTTAAAAATTATTAATATTAAAACATCATTTGAATCTAATTTAATAATTTTTATTCTATTTTCTTAATTAATACTTTTAATTAATTATAAATCTTGGTAAACTTATAGTCAATTAATTTTTTTTAAAATACTAATCATCAATATATATGTAAAAAAGAATGATTTGGGCGGTATAAATGTAAAAAAGAAGTAAAGTTTAGGTGTTAGATATGTAAATACATAGGAATCGTGTGGTATGCATGCAAAGACCCATAAAAAGCATGCAATAAAATGTCAAATTTTGTACTAACCTTTTAGCACAACATGACAATCAAATTAAGGGAGCTACAGCTGCTGGATCAACACATGAAGGTCTCTTAGCATTGTAATAAAAATGGGCTATCATATGTACTAATTCATCTGCCGTTCTCATTTCTGAGAAGAAAATGAAAACAGAAAGAAGTTATTCTGCTAACAGCTATTAAAATGAATCTTTTTTTTTTGTTTTTGTAAGATTAAAGATCAAACCTTTTTCTCTATACACAATCCTGTTTCCCTTTAAGAACAATAGCTGTGGGCATTCTCTGACTTTCAGAGCATGAGCTAAGTCTGTCTCAATGTTCATGTCAATCTTGATTGTCTGCAGGTCACAATAAGATTCAATAAAATGTGTGAAATTCAGTTGAAATTAAATAGAAAAATGGCATACCCGAGGGGGTAAACGATCTTTGGCACTCCAGTACACCTTGGCTGCCTTCTCTAATTCCTTCAAAAGCTTCCAGTTATCAGCGGCCCTGTTTAAAAGTAGTTTCAATGTTGTCATTAGAAGGGGCAGACATGAGTTTTAAGATCTCTGAATATGCAACTGTTCATTATTTTGGATGTGTTGATGCAAGAGTTGCAAGAAGTTCTCGTACCTGTTGTAGCGTTCGAAAACCAGAACAATGAGGGGGCTGGGGTGGAAAGCGAAGCTCTCCCACTCCAAGCAAGTAATCTCTTGCACCCATCCTTCATCCATCTCCCCCTCCCAATCGATCTCGACACCGTCCACCACCACATTCTTGATGGGATGCTTCTCAAAGTACTCTGAAGCTCTTACGCCCCATCCGACGTCCGCATCCACCGGCCAATTTGGATTCTCCTCTTCCAACACGTGCACCTTCTCCTCCTCCATCTCCCGCTCCTCCTCCTTCGCCTCCTGAACTCTCTGCTTCAAAACCTCCCGTTTCCCCTCAAGCACATCAGCATTCTGCTCTCTGATAGAAGCGAACACCTGCTCCAGCCTCCCTCGAATGTAGTCCTCCACTGCAACAGCCTCGCTCCGACGTCCGCGCCGGGGCTTACGGGGTATCGTCGTCGGAAAGTTATTGCAGAATTCGGACGAAGTGGATGTCTCGGGGGGTGGTTCTTTGTGTTTAGGGGGACGGCCTTTCTTTCTAGGGGTTGGATTAGGTTTGGAATTGGGGCGTTGCTCTGAATTAGGCCGAGCTGAAGAAGCTGAGCAGCGAAGATAGGGCCGATGGATTTGCTGAGGTTTTTTAGGAGTTGGGAATAAGATCGGGGAATGAGGGTTTTCAGAGTGTATTTTTAGGGAGAACAAGATGGGAGCCGTCGATTGAAGGACTGACATCTTCGTCCTCTCTCGTCGCGGGAAAGCGGAGTCAGACTGAGGGGATAAGAGGGAGCGGAAAGAAGAAGTATTTTTAAGCTTTTATTTATATATCTAGTATACTATGCTTAATATTTACTTATATAATATTTAAAATGCTTAATATTTACTTATATAATACTTAAATATCAAATATCATGTTAAAAATATCATTAATATTAATTTTTTTAAAATATAAATACTTTTAATGTATATGCTTATAATGTTTATGCCACAAAAATATTAAATTTTAAATGTTAAATATGTACATATATAAGAATTATGTGGTAGTGTGCTAATCCCCCCTTTTACAAAACTCTTTATATATATATATATATATATATATATATATATATATATAAGAGGAGAGGAGAGAAAAATGAAAAAATTAGTTCATAATATTTTAGTTAATTATTTTGGTAATAGTAATTTGAAAGTTTTATATATTGAGATTGGTATATGTTGAATCTTTTTAAGACGTAGGGTTTCGAATTGTTCGTGTGTTCATGCGACTCAATAAATACCATGTTTTTAAGATGAAGACGTGCGAGAAGAAGATAAACGTGTTAATAGATTTTGTGTTTCTCACTCTACATTTTCTCAAACTTTTTTGGGCGGCCAAAAATGTCTCAAAAAAAAAATCTTTGCTTCTTGATAATGAGAGAGGGAGAGAGACTGTGTGTCTAGTTTAGAGAGAGAAAGAGAAAATCTTATAAGTTCATTTCTTTTATAGATTCTCAAACCCCCTAAAAGCTCAATTTGATCTCCATTTTATATATGAGAGAAAAGAAATATAAAATTATATTATGCACATTATGGCGTATGTATGTATTGTTTTAGTGAAAATATTGTCATGTGAGTATTAGGCAACACCATAAATAAGGATTGATGCATGTACTAAAAGGTCCTATTGTTTCTTTTTCCAATTGCTCGTTTGCCTCAGACAAGCTCAACTAATTCAACGAGTGAGCTCAATTCTTCTACTTTTGTTGCTCAGATCAAAAATAAACTTATATTCAAGTGGGTCCTTGAAGCCCATAAGGCATTTGATCCTTATGTTATGCCTTTGAAAAAGTCTTCTTTAAGTATATGCATGTATTTGAGTATACATTATAATATAATTTATTATTATTTTTTATATGCTATATTGAGATGAGTGAGCAAACAAATATGTTGGTAAAGCTATAAATTAGCTTCTTTGTAATCTCTAAAAAATAATTCATTATTCAATTATAAAAGTCATCTTACTAGGAAGAGTGTCTCAAATAATAGCGACTTCAAAAATATCATCTTAAATGATGACAAAATACCAAAGTTACGACTATCAAGTTCAATAAATAATACCAATCCTCGACACTAATTCTTAGAAATTCATATACAATTGGAGTTTTTAGTAGGTCATAGTGATTACATTTTGATCATGCTTCAAGAAGAGGGTTTAATTTTCATTTCTTTTAAAAGCAAAATTAAAGAGCCCATTTGGAATAGTTGTTATTTTTTATTAGGAAATTATAGGGCTCTTGTGGGAAAGCAATTTGTTTCGTGTGGGAAAGCAATTTGTTTAAAAAACTTATATATATATATATATATATATATATATATATATATTATGAGACACACTTTAAAGAGTATATTTTCACCAATTTTTTTTATAAAATAATAAAAAGTGCAGATAAACAAACAATAGCAATATTCTAAAAAATTAAAACTATAAAGTGACAGCCTCAAACAGACCCAAATATTCGTTTTGAAAATAACTTTTAGAAGGTTTCTTAATTTTAAAATAAATATTACAATTATATTTCATTCAGCTAAAAAATAAACTAAAAAAAATCATTCTGAAAATATTTTCTTAAGTTTAAATAACTTAATGAGCCCAAGCTTCCAAAAGAAATCATCAATGCATATCATAAAGAAGAAAAACCCCTCATTTTCATCATATACAAATGCAAAATATCATAAATCTTAGCATTCCACTTTAGTACTTCATCAATGTCAAATCATATATTATTTGAATGTAAGCTAATGACAATAGTTAAGCTGTTTTTGATATGACATAAATTCAAAGGAAGAATCAAATTTTCATGATAAGCAAATAATTAAGTTAACATAAAATGAGTTTAATCTAGCTATGTTGATTCTAATCTCAAACAACCAAATGAGTCCCTAAGCTCCCAAAGCATATCATCAAGGTCTATCATAAAAAAGAGTAATCCCTTCACTCCCCCTTTCCCTCTTTCTTTAAACCCAAAATCCAATACCCTAAATCTTACCATTCCACTCCAAGCACTTTTCCAAATGTCAAATCAAATCTATTGCTTGACAATGAGCTAATAACAACAATTAAGTTGCCTTTAATAAGACATAAATTCAAATCCACGTATAAAAATTACATGATAAGCAAATAATTAAGTTAGCATAAGAAAAAAGAGAGGTCATCTACTAGTTTCTCTCCCCTTCTCTCTTAGCCTTGCAACTTCCTCCTTAAATTCCTCCTTCCTCTTCTTGCTAGCAAGAACCTTAGCCTGCACGCCACTCACATTCGGGTCTTTCTTCTCCATCAAAGGAGCCGGCGGCTGCCTCTTAGCGGCACTAACATCATTACAAAATAACGATAAACCAATACCAGCACCGACCAAACCATAGAAAATCGATCTGCATTTGAAGCGATAGAAATCATATCAGTATGTTCTCTCTCACAAAATCTCAATTCAACACAATAATTAAAAAACAAATGTATTTATATATGTGATGATAGAAACATATATAGATTTTGTATAGTCAAATGAGAGGCATACCTTCTTTGCTGAAACTTTAAATCAAACTGCTTCACTGAGATTTCTGAGAGTGGTTTTGCAGCAAAAGCAGGAAGGGGCAATGACATGTTTTCAGCCTATTTTATGATAGGAGGAGAAGTGATCTAATTCAAGTTTTGATGGATTAGGTTTCATGGAATGGTGGGACCCATTTTTTGATTTAAGAAAGCCCTCATTGGTGCTTTTGTGGATATGAAGATCACAAATTTGTGTGATTGAAGATTAGATTTTCCTATTGGTGAGCCATAAATTTTTAATACACACACACACACAAACACACATATATACATATACATATACATATACAGTGCCACCAGCCGTGGTCTGTTCGTAGAGCAACCTTTTTGAAGGTCGTAAGCTCTCTTAGATCACGAGTTCGAATCCCCCTTTGGCCAGTTTATCAAGAGTGAGGGCGGTCCTCGAATAATTAGTCACATGAGAATAGTTGGAGTATATATATATATATATCTTAAAATTGAAAAAATTGAGCAAAACTAAATGGAAGTGTTGTTCATTCAATAAATGGACTTGACACATTGTTGCATTACTTTTTAGGGGCATTTACATGCAAACTCCACGCCCACCTATGTATTTACAAGCTTTAGATCTTATGTATGTAAATATATAAGGAATAGGTGGAATGTATGTGAATGCCTCATTTAAAACTCCAACCATCTAATTCAGGGCTCATCTATTTGGAATTAAATAAAGGGGGGTATTGCATACAGACCAACCAAAATATTGATATTCACAAATCAACCACCCTCTTTGATCCAAATTCTCACTCAAATATAAAATTCATGGCAAAACCCCAACCCATGTTTTCCATTTTCACCAAATTCTAAATATTTTGATCATGGCATGCAAAAATACACCAATTCTACAGTTCAAAGAGAACAGCTACATGATAAATTTATAAATATCAATATTTTAGGTGTTCAATAAGTAATTATCCCATAAATAAATCTAGTTGATATAAGGAACATGGCTACTTATCAAACCAACATGGACATCCAAGAAAGTGTTATATGCCTCTAATATTAATAATCTTTAGAAAAAAAATATTATCTTGCTTTTATAGTTAGTATTTATATGCCACATAATTTTATTAGATATGGTATAAGAAAAATGATATCATCAAATTAGAACAAATTTACCATCACCTATGTTAAATCATAAATGAATCATGAATGTGGCACCACCTAAATGTTTTCAAATATATATATATATATTCAAAATTTTAGCCAAGCCCAACTCACTTGACGCCATTGCTATTTACCATCATACTAACAGCAGACCCATTGTATATCAAAAAATTTATAATAAGATCCATATATTTTTTCAAGGCCGTGTGAATGGCTGGAACTCGACACTTAACTTTATTTCCAATCACAGATACTTAAAATTTCAAGCTATTATCCCATGACAGATCAAGTGATCAGATTCTAAGATGTTGAATGCTTTCTAATGCCGAACATGAATAAAAAATTTAAAGATGCATTTACATCTATACCACATAATATTTTAACATCACATATAAAATAGCACCATTTTATTTTAAAAAAAAGTGAAATACACCTTATGATGATGGCCAGCACGCCCAAATTAAGGTTTGTGTATTAAGGGTCTGTTTGGGGCAGCTGCAGCTTATCCAGCTTCTACTGATAAGCAGTTGATTCTGATAATCTGCTGATGAGCAGCTGATCCGGATAAGCTGTCTGGTTGTTTGGTTTGTGCGTCTGGAAAACAGCTGATTCTGGATAAATGACCATTCTGCCCCTGTTTTGGATAAATTGTTTAGTTGTTTGGTTTGTGCGTTTTGTAAACAGCTTACCTGTAGATTTTTTTAGTTGAATGAATGACGAAAGTAACATTTCAATGCACCTTCAAGGAGATTTGACAAAAATAACATCTTTAGCTTCTCTCCTATTCCCTTTCTTTTTCTATGATTCTTCTACTTTACTCATTGCATATTCTATGCCCTTCCTTTTCTATTTTTTTCTTATTATGATCATTACCTATTCTATTTATTAATCCCTATTATAAATATGCTATTCATAGTGTTAAGGTTTAATTTTGATTGATCCATATTTTAATTCCGAGAAGAAGTGTATTCAAAATTCGATAAAATATGAATGCATTCAAAATACATTACAAATGAAATAACTCTTAACTTTGAAATTCATGGAAGCCGCGACACAACACCAACGAGCAGCAAACAACAACCTAAAACCACATTTGACAGTGTATTCAAAACTCGACAAAATATGAGTGCAATCAAAACACACTGAAAATGAACGACCGAGTTTGAAATTCATTGGAACTTAATTACACCAAATATCTCAAAACAACTATTTCACTTTGTTTACACGTTTTATTCAGCAAGCTAGAGAGCATCAAATTTATTACAAGCTAATTTGATCCAGACATATGAACAAAACAAATATCAATTATGAACATAATCAGAATTTACCGCAACATTAGCACCACAAAATCAAACTATCAATATACAGAAAAACCACAAAAAAATAGCACATAATCATTAAAAAATTTCAAGAATCGCTAAACATAGATAAACTACTGTAAAAATACAGAATCAAATATAGAAATTTTAAAACAAGCAAAGCATATATGCATTAGGAAAAAAGAATTAACCGAAAAACAACATATCGTGAATCAGGAACAAGAGGAGCAATTACAGGAATTTGGGGCGAAAGCACATACACCGTAAGGCTTATTGGGAAGATCGCAATCGATGCCGAAACAACAGAACATCGAGAAACAAGCGGTCGGATCGTCGGCAACGCAACTGTCGCAAGTCAGGCAGAGCTGAAACGGCTGATCTGGCGTGTCTCCATTGCCGACGGTGGTGATCTCGTCGACGGAATCTCGTCGACGGCTCTGTATTCCACTGTCGCCGTTGGATTGTAGACGATTGCCGATGAAATTTGCAGCTCTGTGATGAGGATGGAGAGGGAGAGAAGAGATGCAGAGAGGAATTGGGAGAGCGGGATTTTGGCCGTGGAGTAGGAAGGAAGAATGATGAGGTTGGAGGTAGAGGTGGAGAGTGAGGCTCCTGCAGAATCAGCGCTTCCCTTGCATTTGGCTCATAGTCATCCTCTCCAACTCCGCCGGTAACCAAATCCCGCTCCGCCGGTAACCAAATCCCTCATCGCCATCCTCTCCAAAGAATTTGACGCGAAGTATTCCGGTCAGACAGGTTTCTTCCACGCTTCCCTTGCGTTTGGCTCACTGCAGAATCGGCGAACAACAAATGCGAACAAAAGATGGGAGGAGCGGCTACCGAAGAAGAGCGAGGATCCACAGACAGAGGATGCGAACGAACGAGGGGAAGGGAAATATGAACGAACGAGGGCAACAGAGTAATTGGACGGGAACGAAACGCAGATCGCGGGCTACCTCCCGCGGGCGGCGTCTTTCAGAGATGAAAAACGTTGTTTTTGGATAAGTCAATGAAACGCGCGAAACAAACTGGACGACGGCGTTTTTTAAAGCGCCGCCGCACTTATAAGCTGCCCCAAACAGGCCCTAAATGTGTAAATTCATAAAAATTAAATGACCTGCATGCAAATCATCCAAAACAAAAAACACTATAATGAATGCCTACAACATTCAGGTCAATCACACAAGGCTACAATTCTTTATTTCAAACATCAACCAACACCCATAAAAGATGAACTAAATCCAAAACATCATGAGATCAAAAGTCAAAATTGACAAATAAAAACATTTTGGTTCTAAATGACAAATAGATTTAGATAAAGAGGAAAATGAAAAATCCAAGTCAATGTGAGTTCAAAGAGACACACAAACTCTAAAAGACACATAACGACACTAATCACACTAATCATCATCTTCATCATCATCACCACGCTCATCAGCATAAACAGCTTTGTTGTGAGCATTCATCCGCTCAACAAGCTGAGCCTTCCTCTCCTCAGGAGTCAGTTTCTTCAAATTATACCTGACATGTATAAAAGAGAATCGGTAACAAAATGTAAATAACAGAAAAAATTAGCATGCTTTTGTTAAACCTAGGAAATTTAGAGGACCTTAAGTAGCTTTTTAAAAAAAATTAAAGGGAAATTTATATATCCAACACCTAAACTTTACCTTTTTTACATTTATAGAGCCCCGAATCATTCACATGACATAAAAATACAACTAATTTCCTTTCATGAATATAGGTAATGTGGCACATATATAAAAATTGAAATTTAGATAAATGTTAGATATGTAAATACATTGGATTTAAGTGGATGTATCTAAATCTTCCAAAAATAATTTCTTACAACAATTCTAAAAATATTTGTACAAGCAAACAAACATTTTTCAATTATTTGGTAAAAATAACTTGTCGATCAGTTGTGAAAGAAATATATCTTTCTTGTTACTTCAAAAACATCTTAGAAAAATATAAAGAAAAATAAAGAGAACAGATAAAAAATGGTAGCTGTTTAGAAAGGAGGAATACAAACAAGCTCTCATAAACACGGCCTTGATATTGTTAGGGCCCGTTTGGGGCAGTTTATAAGTGCGGCGGCGTTTTTGAAAACGCCGCCTAACAATTTGATTTGTGCGTTTTTTAAAACGTTGTCTATCGCATTTGGGTTTTTTATACTAAACGCTGGCCGCACAGCAGTCGACCCACAGACCGAGTTTCATGACAAATTGTTTATCCTAAAACGCACAAACTGCCCCAAACAAACCCTTAGTTTGAGAAAACTTTTTGAATGTTTTGGTGACCCAAAAAAACAAAAAATAAAAAGAGATTTTTATATATCAACCACCTAAAACATTATATATGACAATTTAACAGCACAAATTTTAAATATAATATTTTAGCAGCTGTTCAGAAAGTAAAAAATACAAATAAGCTTGCCTCAAACACTGCCTCGGTATTATTAGTTTGGGAAAACTTTTTATTGTTTTTGTGAAGAAAAAACAAATAAAAGAGAAAAATAAAAAGAGATTTTTACATACCAACCATCTAAAATATTAAATATAACATTTTAACCATCCAAACTTTAAATATAAAATTTTAGCCACTAAAAACTTGACTTTTAATAAAAAAAATGATTAAAATGTGATATTTAAAATTTAGACGGTTAAAATATTATATTTATTATTTGAGTAGTTGGTACGTAAAAACCCCCAACAATAAATATTTTTGATTAAAAAATACATTTTTGTTTTTTTTTTCCAAAAGAACTTCATTAAAAAAAACTGTTCTATCGTTAAAAAAATAATTTTTAAAACATTAAAAAATAAGAGGACAAAAAAGTATTTAAATTTTAACTACTCAAAACTTTCGCTCAAAACTTTCATGACCGGTTGCAACGAAAAAAAAAAATGACTAAAATGTTATATTTAAAATTTAGATGGTCAAAATATTATATTATATATTTGAATGGTTGGTTCGTAAAAACCCCAAAACAAAAAATATTTTTGATTAAAAAATACATCATTTTCTTTTTTTCCTAAAAAGACTCCTCATAATAAGAGCTGCCCGATGGTTAAAGAAATAATTTTTAAAATATTAACAACTACGAGAGAAAAAAAAGGATAAAAATACAATTTTTAAAACATCAACAACAAAAACAACAACTCCGAGAGAGAGAACTACAAAAAAAAAAAAAAGAAGAAGAGAAGAACGTACCTCTTGTGTTCCTTGGGAGGTTCCTTGGTAGATTTCTTCAATGTTGGATCAGCTCGAATGGCAGCATGAACCTTCTTGTACAACTCACTCATGCCATCAGGTTCAATACCCCTCTTAATATACTCACTGAAATGAGCTTGATATTTTTCAGGGTCATCCTCCATCAAAATCTGAATAAAAGGAAAAAAAACTAAAAAAAAATCAGAGAGAAAATCAAGAAAATTAAACAGTTTATAATAAAATAAGAATTGAGGGGAGAATATGTAAAATGAAGTCTAAATTGATGAATCTCCAGCCGGCAAAACAATGAAATTTGCTGCAAAGGAATTTGAATGAGAAAAGACATTTTACAGAATGATAAATTTACATATCTCACACCAAAACTTTTACATTTAGGAACATAGCATTTGGTGCTTTAAATATATGCATGAAAACACGTATTTAACAGCGTTATTTTTTGTCGTATTAGAAATTTGAATGCTACAAATGTAAGTATGGAAGTCTAGGTGCGAGATATGTAAATATATAAGAATTGCGAGGTATGTATCTAAATGCCCCTATAAAATATGACTATTTAATTAGCACATACAATTAATGCACACATAATCACGTAACACAAACAGATGCGACTCATCTTATATGGAAAAGAATTGTTCAAAATGATTTGCACGCTATATTGAAATATTTAACAAAAATAAGCAAATAAGAGGATTCCGACAAAAGATAAAATGATAATGACAATACAAATGCTTATATCACTAACCCTCATATAATCCGCAACATGACCGCCAAAGATATACTTTCTATGAACTTCAGCATCAAGCTGCTTGTCATCCTTCTTAAAACCAGCAAATCTCTTGTCGCTATGAGGAATATCAAGGCCACCATCCAATGCTCCCTAAAGTTCAATTAAATCAAACTAGTTCAAAAATAAGCAAACATACAACAACAAAAACAACAACAAGCCTTATCCCACTAAATGCAGTCGGAATCCTTTTTCTCCATTACGTCCTATTGAGTGTCATATTCTCATTTCATGATTTTTTCGATAAAAATTTTATGTTGACTGTTCACCATCTAAGCAAACATATTATTACTAAAATTATATCTCAAGAATAATCATAAAAATAGTAACATGCTCATAATATTTTTTTATTCTTTAAAAGTAAAAGTTCAGCTTAAAAAAGTGTTAACCAAAAACACTTAAAAAAATAAACTAAGAAACACCAATGGTCAACTTGAGATTACTGGCCATCCCATTAACCATAAAGAAAACCATTGGTTGCATTTGGAAAGTTTTTAAAAAAAAAAATTTGCAATCATACTACTGCTAAATAAAGAATAAGGTAAAAAATCTAAAACAATATTGCATAGTGTTATTAAGAAAAATTTATATCCAGTAAATTATGTGAGTGCGTTGCCTTCACATCCTATTCTTCTAACTCAAAAAAATGCTTTTAATATCAAATATATATATATATATATATATATATATATATATATATATCAACAAATATATAATTGGATACGTTTATCTTTAAAAAGCTTATTTCCTAGAACATCACTTAGGATAAGTTCTTGACTGCATTTGTGATAGGCAAAGCAATAAAAAAACAATATGTTCCTCTGAATAACAGTTTTCTCAATTTTTTTGAGATTGCCTCTAAAAAGTAATTTTTGAGAAAACATATTGAAAATACTGTTGAAAATAGAGCTATTTAAAGCCCAAATGAAGGCTAATTAAACATTTATTACATTCAACTTCCTGTTCCTCTACTCAAAAATCAAACATTTTGAATATTATTTATATTTAAGACATTTTATTTGTATGTTTCACCTCAACGAACAGCACTTGACTAAACTATAACATTTAATATCAGTATTTATGGCAACACTACCTCACCAAATGAAGGCTAATTAAGCATTTATTGCATCTAACATCCTATTCATCTATAAAAAAACCAAACATTTTGAATATTCTTTGCATTTAAAACGTTACAGTTTTATATTTTACCTCACCAAACAACACTTGACTAAAATATGACATCGAATACCAGAATTTATGGCAACTTTAGCTTCTCTACTTAATAATATTCAAACAGCCGATTTCTCAACCACAGTTACAAACATGCCTCCAATATAACTTTTTAAAGGTAATGTTAATAAAATCTTTTTGAAAAAACTACTAACTCCAAAGTTACTCATTCAATAAAGAAGCACAAGGAAGAGGTGGCTTTTCATAAGCATTTAAACTATTAATTATTTACAATTGATAAAATTGTTATCATCCCCTCTACTGATACTACGAAAATCAAATGAATAAATGACCCAAAGCTGCATGCTTCATAAATACTGCTTAACCTTTTAGTTTTCAGAAAGCGGAGAAGAATAAAAATAGCAGAGGAAAAAAAAACCTTGAGAGCACCAAAAACTCGGTTTCCGGTTGTCGTCCTGACAAGACCAACGTCAAGGAGAGCACGGAATGGCCTCCTGCTCTCTGCTGGTTCAACCGAAAAGTCTTCGCCACTAGCCTGCTCAATAATTTGGGAGTTATTAAATAAAAAAGGCATTTTTAATAATTTTTTTGGGCATTTACATACATATCACATAATTCTTACATATTTACATATCTGACACCTAAGGTTTGATATTTACATTCATTCCACTCAAATCTTTAACGACACAACAAAAAATATCCACCATCACTACCTTCTTAAATTGAAATACACCTTTTCATGCATAAAATTATGACACCAAATTGTTACAAATATAAATATCAAAGTTTGGGTGTTAGATATGTAAAAATATAACTGTGTCGTATGTATTTAAAATTCCATTCTTATTCAAAAGAACAGCAAAATACATACCTCAACATTTCCCTGATATTCTTCATCCATTTCAAGCATCTTCAAGACACGGCGAGCCAATAGGAGTCCAGTGCAATAGGCTGATAACATGACTAGCACGTAAAAATCTACCTCGCTGCAAATAAATGTATCAAAAGGTTCATTATGGAAACAATCACAATACCTGCCGCATAATTCGTAAGGCCAGTTTCAAGCCCATAACGAGGTAGCTCATGGGCATAAGCTGCTGCAAGGATGATGTCGCCAGCAATGCTAGCAGATATAATCTGTGCAACAATATCCTTATTCGTCTGGACAATAACTTGGTTAAGAAATAAACAATTAATAATACTATTCAACCATACAATATTGGGGCATTCGCATATATACCACATAACTCTTATCTATTTACATTCGTAACGCCTAAACTTTAATGTTTACATGCATAGTACTTAAAATCTTTAATACCACAATTACTTGCTTTTTAAAAATGAAAAAAATTTTACTAAATCATTATAAATGCAAATATGAAAGTTTAGATGTTAGGTGTGTAAAATAAATAAGAATTGTGTGATATGTAAGTGAATTTCCCTATAATATTTTATAGCCAAAAAATGTGATTTGTCAGTGTGGATACAAATCGAACGACGAATCTGTACTTTGGCGTGTTGTACTTATTTTTGTCCTGATTAATCAGCCGAATTCTAGCTCTATAATCAGTTTTTCCTTCTGCAAGTCAATAAAAGGATTGAATGTCAAATAAAGACTGCTTTCATATATAACTTAGGGTATAAATAATAGGATTCTTCTAATGTGTTTAGTAAGACTACTTTCACTAGCTATAACAAAAGTACCTCTTCTTCTTTTATATTTGACTTGGAAACGTTTGAAGTAAGCCTTTGACTTTTGAGCTTTCACAAAGGCCTGAAAGAAGAATACAAATTTTCATCAGCAAAAGGAAAACAAAAACTATCACCTTGCAGAAGTAAAATAAATTAAAAACTGAAAACATAATGCAATTTGCAAAAAAATGATATCACAATTTGCAAATTAACACTAAGCGCAACAAGCATATACCAACATCTTAAAAATAGAATCATCGTCAATAATATACATGAGAACATTTGGTTCATTTAGTTACACAAACAAAATAAAAGCAACAAATATGAATCTAGGATTATGATATAAATTAAATATCATTTTATTGTAAAGCAGAAACCTGAAGTTGGAATATAATCAAAAGTTAAAAATAGCAATCAATATATTACATAAAACACACCAAATCCTAAAAAACATAAGAAACGAATTGAGAGGATGTCTGGCCAAAATTAAATTTTAATTCAAACAGGATTTTGTAATCCTGTAAATTTAAAATTAGTAAACTCTGAGGGGATTAAAAAATCAAAGTTTTCTTGCATGACAACCACTAAATCAATTAAGCGGTGGTCGAGAAAAGATATTTTTATAATCCTTAATAATCTAAAAATTGCACCCTACTTCATCTGCCAAACAGTTAAGGAGAGGATGCATTTTAAGGGTAAGAATATCATTAGGGAAGAAATCCCACAAAATCCATAAGCTGATTTCGCTCTACAAAATGTTTGCAGTTGATAAGACTAAACTCCAAATCAAAGACACATTTTGGCTTGTTGCCGATCTAAGTCTATTTATTCCAAAATACAGATGTATTTATTTTATAAAATCTACTGAAATCAAAAACAAAAATGCAAGCTTTTATCCCATAAATCTTTATTGTTGGGGCGAATAAAATATGTTCTAGCAGCACAACAAGCAAAAAGAAGGCCAGTGATCCAACAGATCACTGATCCCAATGATAGTCACATCAAACGAAACAAATTACATTCTTTGAGGGTAAAAATCCCTCTTTTTACAACGAAGAACCAGATCCGTTTGGTAATTCAGAAGCTTGAAATTGCGCAGATTGAACAGACATAATAATCCATAAAGTTACGCCTACAGAAGAATGGAAGACGAATTGATATAGGAGGAATTTGATGAAATGAGAATTACCATTTCACTTGCCCGCTGCTGCGCTGCTTCGGCTGGGAAAGAGGAATAAGGATCCGACCGGCTTTTAAAACCCTAGGGCGATGCGGGAACTGCTTCGGCTTATAAAACCCTAGCTAAGAGAATACGAATGGTCCGGATGGAAATTGACGGTCCTGATTGCTCCACCGATAGGTCAAATTACTCCAAAAAGAATTCTATATTTAGAGGTTGTTTTTTTTTTTTTTTTTTTTTTTTTTTGGTGTTTAGAAGAATGAGTGTAAACGAGCCGAACACGAGCGAGCCATGCTCGTGTTCGTCTCGTTTATATTTCGAGCTAAAAAAGTGTGTTCATGTTCAGCTCATTAAGCAAACGAGTCGAACACGACCTGTTCACGAACAAATAGTCCTTTTAACAACCCTAATCATATAGTCATAAGACAATAAGGGTTTGAGTAAGGGTTTGAGTAAGGGTTTGAGTAAGATTTAAAAATTATTATTTATATTGAAACATCATTTGAATCTAGTTTAATAATTTTTATTATATTTTCTTAATCAATATTTTAATTGGTTATAAATATTTGTAGCCTTGTAGTTAATTAGACTTTTTTAAAATACTGCTTAATATATATATAAATATAAACTTGATGAGTAGTATTTCGAGTCAAAATGAGCCGAACACGAACGAACACATCTTATTTCGTGTTCGGCTCGTTAACTTATCGAACGAAATTAACGAGCCGAACACGAGCTTTTTAAGGAGTCGAACACGAGCTGTTCGCGAACAACGAGCCGTTTTGACGGCCCTAGTTAGAAGTGAGCTCAAGTGGTCGTCTCCTTAACATAAATCCCATAATTTAGTAAAAATTAGTTCTTTTGTAAATAAGAGAGTAATATGTCCACATTGTCTTTAATTATTTTCATTGGGTCATTTTAGTCCCACAATTTATATAAATGTCAAGTCGATCCACAAACTCTTTAAATTGGGGCTAAAATAGTATATATGGAAAATTATTAGAACCCAAATTAAAGAGTTTGAGGATCAATTTGACAGTTATATAAACTCTAGTATTAAAACGACCTCATGTAAATAATCAAGGTACTATTTTGATACTTTGCTGGTACATAAATATGATAAAAATTTTCATTTGGAACAATAAATAAATAAACCATTCATTTAATTTTAAAAATTTATTTTTATGTTGATATTAAATAAAATATTGATTTAATCAAATTAATTGAATATTAAACAATTTTTTTTTTCTTTTATTGTAGAAAGATCAAAAGCTAAATTTGATGAGTTAAGAAGTTCATAGTCAACCTTAAGTATCTAAGAAAATAAAATAAATTTTAAATTTAATTTTTATATATTTTTATTTTTTGTGCTTTGAATAAAACAAATTGTCATACAAAATTTTTAAATGAAAAAAAAGATTGAATCAAGTTAATTTTCTTTAGCTACCTCGATTTAGTTATTTATATAAAGAATAGTATTTGAACATTTTAATTTGCCTTTGGTTATACTGCACAAGAGAAATGGACCGAGCGTAGATTAATTATGATTATCATTCCCACTTTCAATTACATATAAATAAATTAAAGAATAAAAAATAATAATAGAATAAAGAAAAAAAATTTCATAAAATAAATAAATAAAATCATTAGATTTTTTTGAGCTTTGCTGATGATTGAGGGTTAGTTTTGGGCAGCTTGTGCGTTTCAGGATAAGCTGTTTATCCTGAAACGAGGCCCGCGGTCTAGCTGCAGGGGTCGACTCGCGGCCTTTGTTTAGTGTAAAAACTCAAACGCAGTTTCGGATAAGCTGTCGAACGTTTTGAAAACGTTGCCCGCACTTTTAAGCTGCCCCAAACAGACCCTCAATCATCGTTTTGACTTGATGTGCTAGTTTCAAATAAATTATTGAGAAAATTTAGAAGTTAATTTAAATTAAATGAATATCAAAATTTTTAAATTTATTTTTAGACTAAGAAACATAATAATAATAAATAAATAAATTAATTAATTAATTAAAACTTGTAATACACTCATCATAAAGCAAATCTAACAACTTCAAGCTATTGTAGCTAAATTTAAAGCAATAAAATCTGAATAAATATTTTTTCCAAGTTAATTTGTAATTTTATGCTATTATATACAAATTTTGAATGAAAAGCCATGTCTTTGCATAAAAAATAAAAAATAATGGAGGAAATTACATACATAACACTCAGAACATTGTTATTTACAAATTTACGACCCTTTCATCTCAAATATCAAAATTCACAATAAAACCCCATATTTTACATGTTTATCATATTTTGACCGTGACGTTGCGAGATACAACGGTTCAGTACTACAAAAAAATCACATGAGCACCAATTTTATAAATATCAATATTTTGAGTGACATGCATTTAATTATCTCAAATTAATAATAAGAAAAAACCCGTGGCATTTACATGCATATCACACATTTCTCATGTATTTACATATCTCACAATTAAACTTTCATATTTACGCACATAGCACTTAAATCTTTTCAAAAGTGAATGCATCTTTATCATACATAGGTTTAAAACATCGAAGTACTATGTATGTAAATATAAAATTTTAGAGGTGAGACATGTAAATAAATTAGAATTATTGTCGGAACTTTACAATATCAGCAACAGATGAATCTTCTCCTTCATATTTTCGGAACAAGTATAAGAGCAGCCCTCAGGAACTGCTTTCCCACTTCTCTTCTCCATTGTTTCCTCTCATGTAACTGTTCAATTTGCAAAGCAAAGTTTGCTCGACTTGCTTCAATCCTTCACAGTTATGACAATGAAAACATCCTTATAAGACCACTTGTGGCGGGCATCTTTCGCCGGAGGGTTGATGACGGCCCTCTCAGCGTCGGCAAGCCTGTAGCCGATCACGATCTCCTTCCTCTGTCGTCCGCGTAGAATAATTTCATAGAAGTTCAGTTCTTCCTCTTCACGAAGATAGAGATCCGACGATCGAATCTGCATCTCATTTCCCTGCAAAAAATGTTGAAAGATCCTACATATTCAATTAAGATGAAGGTTGTGACTTGCCGTTGATTCTGCTATGACAATTAAGACAAAAGGAAGAAAAAAGGAGCATTTTTACATATCACGCAGTTGTTATATTTTTACAATTCTAACACCTAAACCTCTAAACCTCTAAACGTTCATCTTTACATGCAAACTGCTCAAATCTTTAATACCACATCAAAAAATCACCAACACTCTCTTTTTAAGAGTGAAATACATCGAGTTGTTAACAATGTAATATCAAACTTGTGGGTGTTATGTATGTAAATACATAAAAAATGTGTGGTATGTACATTTCCCATAAAACATAGTATTTGGAATTAAAGTTAGTATTATGTGTCGCCCATGATGGTAAAAAAATTACAGAAGCAGAATAATTAGAGAAACTTGTCAAAATAATCCTTTGACTATTTGAACGGGATCATTTTAGTCCCAGAGTTTATAAAAATATCAATCAGTACTTAATATGGGATGAAATAGTCTCCACAAAGGACTATTTCTGCCTAAACTTGAACACTTTAGGAAACTAATTTGAAATTTTTTTAGACTTTGGGACTATTTTGGCCTCAACTTAAATTTTGGCGGGCGGTTCGAGCGGTTCCACCTTGGGTCCAACATTGGTTCACTACATGAATCTGGTTTTTATTCCTATCCAGACCGACACCACGTCTGGTTCCCGGTTGGACCGGTCCAACCGGCCGGTCTAGTCCGGGTTTCAAAACACAGCTCATAACAATTATAACAAGTAAGATTCAATCAAGCATTTAGCAGTACCTCCTCAGCAAAAAGCTCTTCCAAAACATCATTTATTTGTCGATCCTCAGCAACCATTGCTAACGCCATGCTCACCAATTCATTTGAAAGAACATAATCACTTATCTTGGACATAGTCAATAAATTTTTTGTTCTTGGATCCAGAATTTCACTGATTATTACTGATTTATCAGAAGCTTGTTGCATTTCTCCTATCCAAGAAAACTGAAAAAAGCTTCCAGGATGGGAATGAGAAACCATGGCTTCTTTGTAAGGAAGACGCTTCGCCTACAAGCATTTCAACCATCAACATTATTATAACCATGTGGGCATTTACATACATAGCCCCTAAACTATAATATTTACACATATAACACTTCCATCTTTAATACCATGTCAAAAATAAAATAACTACTAGCTTTTTAAAAGAGAAGTACACCTTTTCATGCATAGTTCATGCCACCAAAGTGATACAAATGTAAATATCAAGATTTTATGTTAGATGTATAAATACAAAAGAATTGTGGTGTGTATGTAAAATTTTCAATAATCCATTTAAAAGAAGATTGAAATTAGATTTACCTGGATATCTCTAATTAACAATAAAGTCGCAAGTGATCGAGAATCGGCTTGAATGGCAGAGTCTTCCACAGATTCATCAGCTAAAATCAAAATCTGCATCAAGTGGTTCACTTAACAGCATAAACATTGGCTCATAAGCATTTAGAACCTAAGAAAAGATCCATATTAAACCTTTAGAAATTATTTGAATTTATGAAACTGCCTATCATTTTTCATCGTAAAAACTTACAGAATCAAATGATTCCAAGGGCAGGCTCTCTAAATGCCGCCGGATGACAGCATTTCCTTCACGATGAACGAGAGAGATGTTTTCGAGTCGGATAAAATCAAGGCCGCCGTCGATTAACTTTTTTTCTCTGTCGCTCTCAGGAACTTCGTTGAACATCCACAACTCCGATTCGGGCGCCAAAAAAGCATCCAACACCTAGAAGAAGAAAATTGGAGATGTCAATTTCTAACTTAATCATTCTAAGAGGAAATAATGAGCTGTGATAAAGTTTATGAGGATGATAACATCATATTTTGAGCTGTTTATGCACCCCTTGCAATAAAATAAAAAATCCACATCTTTTTCTATTATTATTAATGGAAGATTTACACACATACCAACCATATCTAACACTCAAACTTTTATTTTACATTTATACCCCCCAACCTATGCATAAAATGGTGTATTTTACATTTTATAAGTTAAAGTAGTGGTATTTTTTATGTGCTATGAAAGATTTGGGTGGTATAAATGTAAGAAGTAAAATTTAGACGTTAGATATGTAAATACATAGGGATTGGGCTGTATGCATGTAAATCCCAATTTATTAAATTCAAATACAGTATTCAAGATGAAGAGTAAGAGAAGTCTTTATGGTACAGGACTGACAAATAGAAATGCTTTACTAAGAGCAAAATTTGCGTGAAGCTGAGAATAAAAAAATGCAGAGGGGGGAAAGAATTGGACTGTGAAAATCTAAACGAACTAAATGCCTCTTTCTTTAAATATGAAGAACTTGATAAGCAGCAGAAAAAGAGAACTTCAAGTCAGACTGAAAACTCTATAACAAGGCATGCAAAATGTGCTAAAAAATGTACACTAATATAACTGTTTATATAATGATAAATTTACAAAAATGCCACACAATTCTAATATAATTACATATTTCACACATAAACTTTCAGATTTACATATACAGCACTTCGGAGCTTTAAACCTATGCATGAAAAGCTGTATTTCAATTTTAAGAAAATGATGATAGTGCTATTTTTTATGTGATGTTAAAGATTTGTAAATACATATGAATTGTGTGTTATGTAAGTAAATTTCCGTTATAAAAATTTTATCTTTTGATCAAGTGGAATAAGTTTTCTTATCTCTTGATCAAGTGAAATAAGATTTCTCGCCAAGCATTTCTACCTTTATCACCAAGAACCTTATCTTTTACTGGAATCTAGGGAAAACAAATTCATTATTTAAAAAAAAAAGGGTTTTTCTCTCATAGGCTCCATAAATCTCTCTTACATCAACCGGGCCAGCAGTCTATCATTTAAGTGATGGTGGATTTACTGGATCCATATAGAGTTACCATTATCATATCTTCTATATCTCGTCGCCAACCACAGAAAAGTATCTTTTCAGGAGACTTTGGGACAGTAAAATCTCTAGGCAGATGCCCCCCGCGGACCTGCACGATTGAGGGGAGAAAAAGAAGAAATTAGGGGCTTTGAAAGAATAAACTCACCACAATCATATCATCTATGTCCCGTCGCCATCCACAAAGTAGAATCTTCTGTGCATTTCTTGTAGGCCGGAAAAAGTTAATGTATACTGCTTCTTTGACCTGAATGATAAAATTGATTATAATTCTGCAAGTTTTTAGAGGGTAGACTATAGGAAGCTAATTTTTTTTTGTGGAGTAAAGTGCCAAACTAGTGCCCTTACTATTTACATGGGGTCATTTTAGTCTCAGAGTCCATAAAAGTGCTAATTAGTCCTCAGATTCTTTCAATTGGGACTGAAATAATCTTTCATGTGGACTATTTTAGCCCATATTAAAAAGGACTAAATTGGCAATTTTATATATTCTGGGGCTAAAAAAACTCCTAGAAAGAGTTTATGGACTATTATGACACTTTTCTCATTTTTTGTGGGATTGTGCCTTCGGAGTTTTATTTTTTGTGTAAGAAAGTCGGTATACCTTATGTGCATAAGACAATTTTCCACTTCTTCCTTTAATTTTCTTTATCTTCTTATATAAAATGAACTTTCTCAGTTAACCATGAAATACTGGGATTGCTTTTCAAAATATTTATAACTTATAACATAAATTACTTTTTCCTTTCTTTCCCCTAAGTTTCAGGTCTTTTGAGTTTTAAGGCATTTACTATAAAAATTTAACAAAGCCATAATAAACTACAGAATCGTGTTAAAAGCTAGATCTCTGGTTGTACTAACTTTTCCAAATGCTTAAGGTTTGATTTGGAAAGATAAAGGTTAGTGCCCAAAATGAATCTTCCATAATCTTCAGTAAGAAAATTAAGCGCAGAGCAGATTATTTCATCGTATTCTCTACAAAATATATAATGAAAAATAAATATGTCAAAATAGTCCCTTTACTTTTCACATTCATCACTGTAGTCCCAGAATCTATAAAAAACACCAATTTAGTCCCCATACTTTTAATATGGCCTGAAATAGTCCTCCCTAATTTAGTCCCCATACTTTTAATATGGCCTGAAATAGTCCTCCCTGGGACTATTTTGGCACTTTACTCCTATGTAAACAAACAAAGCTAAATTTATAATTTGGTTTTAAATTGGTTGCATTCAGAAGATCTTCATAGGAAACTAGCTAAATTGTGCATTTTCCTATTAAATAATTGCATCCCCTAAAGAAATGCATACTGAAATTTTCCATCAACAACAGGACCCGGACTGACATCAATGATTACATCATGCAATCCTTAAGCCGTAGTGTTAAGCAAACAAACATAAGTACTGTTCCCTGAATTCATCACCAGTAGAAGATGAATGAGGACGACAGAGAAAATTTTAAGCATATCACTGTATAATTCTTGTTATTAAGTAGTTGATATTGCATAGATTATTATGCCAAACAATATGAAGCAGTTCCAAAACGAACAAATAAAACACAACAGAAGTTGAAATCGAAATAAACTATCTCCACAGAATTATCAGTTCTGATAAAAAAACTCAGCTAAAGATGAACCAACCAGAGCTGTGTATTTTTATACTAATAAGGGAGACAATTGCATAAAACAGAATTATACCAATAACTACAATCCTAAGAAAAATAAATGAGAACCACTTGAAATAAAGCACAAAATGTTCTGAAAACAAAATATTTTGTAAGATAGCATAAACACAATGAAAAATAAATGCAATATTTAACTACTCACATAGCCAGCCCGTGCATCACAGATAGATCCTAGAAATCATACATGTATTGAATAATTATTGATCAAACGAAGCAACTTTTGTTAAACTTTCACTTATTTAGAGCGCAGATGGTTATTCTATAAATTGGAGTTTGGCTTAGCTTATTTATGATCGGTTATCACCACGATGGAACAAATTTTATCATGAACATTCATTTCTTCAGGCCGAGGTAAAGAAGGCACTACCAAAATAAATACAAATTATGCCAAAAAAAAATGAACATTATAAATGAACAGAAGCTCTCCGAGATTTTCAAGTGACCTGAACTAAGGAAAAATAAATATATGGCAGTAAATGAACAAAATATAATAGATTATAAAATGTCTATGAACATGTGTTTATTTAATTTTTTTTGTTGAAGGGTATGAGCACATGTATTTAGGATAAAACTTAAAGCCAAATTAAATTCCACCTAAAACAAACAGAAGTATTACATAAGATGTTAACTAGAACTCATACAATTCCTTTGCATAATGTTAAGGAAATGTTCCATGATTCTTTCATATAAATCAATCATACACATATAATTGGTGCATCATATATACTCCATTATACATGGTAAAAATATCTGACTTTCTTTAAAATGTAACTATTTGTCATTGAATCTAGGGGTGTAAACGAGCCGAACACGAGCGAGCCATGCTCAACTCGTGTTCGAGCGAGCCATGTTTCGAGCTCAAAAAGTGTGTTCGTGTTCGGCTCGTTTATATTTCGAGCTCAAAAAGTGTGTTCGT